TCGGGGAGCAAGACATTGTTTTATCCAGGGAGTCAACCTGAAAGGCCCCTTTGCCTTGGATGGAGGACACCCGTCTGAAGAGCTGTGGTGACCCCCGGACCGGCCCCTCGACTGCCCCAGGGGGAACAGACGCCGCCGCCCTCTAGCACAGGAACCGCGCGGGCACCAGTGAAGTTGAGGTTCAAGATGCGCCTTCTGAGGTGCCGCTCTGTTCACGAGCCACTTTGTTACGTATCTAACCAAATGACACATACACATGTTTAAAAATCTGCTTTCTCCCTCAGAACTGAACTTTCCTATTGAGTTCGGGGAATTCTGTTTCCCCGAGTGAGCGAGTTATCAAAGCCTGCAGTTTTAGGAGACCCGTGAAGGTTATAAAATGCCACCATTACTTAGAAAGTGACAAAACAGAGATTTGTGAAGGAGCAAACAAACACGAGGGTCATCGCCCCCCGGGCCGCCGGGGCCGGGCGCTGGTCCTTGTCCTGGGCCGGCCGCAGAGGGACCCGCACGGACGGGCAGGGGGCGCCCTGGAGCCACACGAAGGCCACAGTCAGGATTAGAGACGCGGGGTCGTCTCCCTCTTCCTCAGGGCCCCCCACTCCATGCCAGTCAGCAGGTGCCCTACCCTGAGGACGGCTTCCGGATGGGCAGGAACACAGGGGCCCACTGGCCACGGCCTACTGGAGCGCCCACGCAGGGAAGGAGGCTGATACCGGTGGGGACCCAGAGGCCCGGCAGTGGACGTCCCCCCGAGAGGGAGGGAAGCAGCAGTTCTGAGGTGGAAACCAGGCATGACCAGTAATGGTTCTGGGCTTGGTGCTGGGCACCTGCCCACCCGCTATGCTCAGGGCTCAGTTAATGCCCTCTGCCCTGGAGGGGGCGGCAGCACTGTCCCCACTTACACAGGAGAAGTCACCTGCCCAAGACCTGTGGCAGCAAGGCCTGGCTGCTGACACCCCCTGCTCTTAACTACCTGTGCCCTGATGTGAGCAACTCTCTCTCTGCCCTGCTCCCACTCTGAGCAGAGACGCTGGCTGAGGGCAGAGCATCCCATCTCAGGAGACCAGAGCTACGTGCCACCCACAGCAGGGCTCTGATAAAATGACTGTCACGCCTGCAGGTGCCAGAGCCGCACAAGGCCTGGAAGGCGGCAGGCTGAACGCCTCTTCTCTGGGCAGAGGCGCCTGCTTGCTTCTGGCACCTTCAGCAGACAGGAGAGGGCTGAGTGGGGCTGATGGGGTGCACACCTGGGGTCCCCCATGCTGGAGGCAGCGTTTCAAGGGACAGAGGCCACCGAGAGGCCGCAGTCTTCCTGAGCAGGCTGAATGCAAGTTATTAAAAGTGAACACATTTCCTTTCTCAGGAAGCTAAATTAAGTCATATTTTTACACGTACTGGCATGGGCTGCTATACATTCCGTCTCAGCCCCGGCACCCACCCAGCCGACCGAGCTCCACAGACTCTCACGCCCCCTACCCAGCGCTGCTGCTTCGTTGAACGTGACAGAAACCATCTACTTTCTAAATGGTGGAGTCACATATTCATATTACAAGCTTAGCGAAGTCCATGCCAAGTATCAGTCTCGCCTGAATTTCTCGCTCATTAACGGTAAGAATGCACTGCTGCCGAGAGGCAGGAGGGCGAGCACCGGGCTCTGCCCGCTGCGCCACTTCCCGGCGGCCCAGCGACTGGCCCCACAGCAGCCCACGCTGGCTTCCATCTCTTCTCCTTCCTCACAATGTCAGTTTTTGTTATCTACGGTAATTCACAGATGAACGAGGCAGATGGAAGGAAAACCATTTAAAAAGTTCCCTGTAACACAGTCGCAGTATTTAGCTCCGAGTGTGAAGTAATAAGGCCTCGTTAGCGACAGGTAATTAAATCCACATTCCGGCTCTGGCACGAGCTCTCCGCCGCGGCCCTGTGGGGTCGCTCGCCTCCCTCCACCTCCCCTCCCTGCCTTCGGGAGACACGCTCAGGACAAATGAGATAACACTCTGGCAAGCACTGGACTTCTCTGGAATCCAAATTATATTTTCCTAAGATCATTTTATCAACTTGAGTACCATGAATCAGTGCTAAAGTCACTCTGGAACCAAGAGATGGCGCAGAAGGCCACTTGGCAGTGACCTCGCGGGGGCATGTGGTTTGTATCTGGGACCAGCCCCCCTTGGACCCTGAGGGGCTCCCTGCAGGGGGCGTCTCCCGGAGCCCCTCCTCAGCAGATGTCCCGACCATCACGGGCACCGCGCAGGAAGCCCGCCCTCAGGATTCTCCTAGAGCCGAGTAAGAGCATCCCCCACCCAGTTTCTGAAAGGGAACCAAATTCCACGATAACAACTAACTCATAACAGGCATCATAAATTAAGTGGACAGGCAGAGTATGGTTAAGTCATTTCCCTGGCCAGATCGATCTGCCTGCGTCCTCAGAGGCCGTTTAAGCTTGAAATACGCAGGGCGGAAAGAACCTGGAGACCAGGAGGGCGGCGTTTGCTTGTCGGCCTCGTTCGGAGCCCGAGAAGGTGCCTTCTCCCAAGTCATCTGCTGACCCTGAACTGGCCTTGCAGAGAGGGATGAAGAAGTGTCTCTGCCAGGAAGGCTTCCAGCAGGCACCCTGCTTCGAGAAGGCGGCCAGCGTGTCCTCCCCAAGCCCCTAAGTTCACTGCGTCCCGGGCCGTCTGGCCTCATCCCAAACACAGACCCAAAGGCAGAAGATAACCCTGGTCTCTGTTCGGGGGAAGATCCTTCACCCCGTTTTAAACTTTTGAGTCTGTCACGGGCCGAGGGGCTCAGTGAGGGTGTTAATGAGAAGACTGACTTTTGGGAGGCCCCCTCGGGATGGCGGGCATGTTGCGGTGAGGGTGCCGAGGGAGGCTTTGGTTCCGCCCATGCCCCACGAGGAGGTCCCCAGTCTCCGAGGGAGGTTTCGAGAGAGCGCCTAAGATGAGGTCAACAGAACGGGCGGCTCCCCTCCGCGGAGAAATGTAATCAGTTCCTGAACAATTCTAATGCCCCGGAGATTCCTGGGGTAAAGGAGTAATTTCTGCAAGCCCACACTTCTCCACGCGTGACCTAGTCTTCCTCTCCCATCGGGTACAACAGCCCTGAGGCTGCAGCCTCCTTTCCCTCTGGGGCCGGTTCCCCGTCAGGCTCAGTCCCGCGTTCACACGAGCCTGGTGGCTGTCAGAGACCCCGGCAGAACGGGCCTCACTGTCCTCACCGCAGGCCCCCCGAATCCAGGTCAGCCGCCCGGGCTGCGCCGAGCACAGACAGGAATTATCTATGTGCCAAGACGCCTCAAGCAGAGACGTGCAGTGGGGACCCTGAGGTCGAGATGGGGGCTCCTCTGTGCTCCCAGCGCCATCTGACTGTCCACTGCTGTCTGAAGAGAGACCCCCCCCAGAAAAGACTTAACGTCCCCCCCAAAAGGCATAAATACGTTTACAGGGATCTCTGGCATTTGCATTCGAGTAACTTAGAATTTCTTTTTTTTTTTTTAAGTGAACTTTTCAACTCATTTCTGGCGTTAAATCAGCAGAGCCGGGAGACTGCCTCTGTCAGAGGAGGTTCTGGGGTGACGGGTGTACAGCAGAGGGGCCAGTCCCAGCTGGGGCCAGGCCAGCGAAGGGGACCATCCCCCTCAGCCTGGGTCACGATGATTTCCCCTTTCCCTTCAGGTGGAATCTTGACAAAACTGACTTATTGAAAATCAGAATTACTCTCCTGAAACGCTTCCAAGCTCCAACTGTATTTTCCTAACCCCCCAGCCATGGCGTGGGGCCATGGGGCGGCCGCTGGGAGGCACCAGATGCCTGAGCGAGCCGTGGATCTTATTCCTCGGCGTGACTGCAGGCAGGAAGTATGTGCTGGGTGTGCGTGCAGGGGTGCTGAGCAGGGCGGGCCCCCCGCTGTGCTCGGCCTGGAGCCCCGAGGCTCGAGAGCCCCAGGACGCAGTCGTTTAGTGAACTCAGAAAGTAGTGTGTGGGGTGGGGGTGTGGGGGGCAGTAACGGCACTGGGATGATTGTGTAAGTGAAATCGCTGTAGGAAAGCAGTATTTTTAAAGCTGCTTGCTTCTGTCCCGGAAAATATATGAGGTACATGAATGCCTCTGAAAAGCTGAGACCAAAGTTGGGGACTCCCTGACCTGCCATGTGAACCAGCCACCCAGCAGCAATCATTCGAACATGACAGTGAGGTGGGGGGGGGGGCTTCCGGCACGGGAGTGGGCTGGGGGGAGCCCACGGGCAGAGTGGACTTGGGGGGTGTATGGCTGGGGGCGCCTCAGAAACACAAAGGCAGGGATCTGGGGCTAGAGCTCCATTAAACGAACCCCCAGCTACTGTCAAATCATTTCGTTTTAAGAATTTGGCCTTGCATTCTAGAAACAGTGTGTCCACCCATTCAGACCCCGGATCCAACCTCAGCAGGATCGGAACCCCTCTGTGGAGACCAGGGGCCTTCACGGAGGACAGGGATCATGTACACATCACCCGGGCCCCGGACTCTCCTGTCAGTTCACTTTGAAATCTCCCTGGTTCTATCAAGACAGTCGTGGACACTCCAGGTGACTCCTGCGGAAGGTGACCTCGCAGACGGCTCTCTCCCGGGCCTGGCCCCGCTGCGGGGCCCCGTCCTGAGAAGTGCCTCCAGGACAACCGGAGATGCTGGCCCCCCAACTGCAGTCCCAGCAGCTCCACGTCTATGCCCCAGGGCTGTAAGCAAGATTACATCTTAAACAGCAATTTCTTTTGCTTTCTAGAAAATAAGCCGAACACACTGCCCAGAACGCCCCCATGGAACGGGCGCAGGAAGGGCACAGGCCTTTTCCTCGGATCCTCAGGATTAGCTTCACTCCCTGACACCCCAGGGCGGCACCGGTCCTGGCCCCAGTCCGAGCACACAGAGACAGTGGAGAACGTCGACAACAAAGCGTCGCTTAGGGCAGCTGCTCTTGCCACACCCGAGACGCCCTCCCCGCCGCAGGGACCCGGCCCACCTTGTCACTGTCCAGCGTGTTCTGCGAGGTGCGGGAGGCGATGGAGATAGTGTCCGGCTGGCTGCTGCCGTCCCCTTGGCTGTCCAGGTCCTCTCCGTCCCTGCAGAGACAGCAACGTGTTACTCCCAACACCCTGGGCTCGCACCTCCAGACTGGGAACGCTGGTCCGTGGGTCACGGACAAATGGTGGGAGTGGGCGGTGACGTCAGAGTCCGTGGGGGCCGCGACCCCCGCAGGTCAGCGGCAACAGGCCTCGGTGAGCACAGGCCTCTTGCCACGTGGCTCCATGTCCTTCCCCTTCATTCTCACCAGAGTAAAACACAGATCACGCGGTTATGTTCTTTTAAGAATACGAAACAAAACTTGGAGATGGACTCTGACTTGCCCAAGGCCAAGGGCATGATTCCCGGGGCGGAGGCCCGAGGGCCTGCCAACAGCGCCCCCTTCCCTTGGAGACCCCAGACCCGCACCTCCACCCCGCAACTCCACTGCTGAGAGTGATGTCACGGGCAAGCCGCACTGAAGGCCGCGCCCTCACGCGTTCCTCCAGACACTCCCGGCCCCTGAACACCGGTGCGTGCCCGCTGCCCCGCCCCTCCCGCCAGGTGCAGCACCTGGGCCCCGGCGCTCACCTCCTGCCCTTCTGCCTGGCGGCCGGAGCGGTCTTGGGGAGATGGATGGGCTCCTTCAGGGCCCCCTTCAGGTGCACCGTCCTCTCCTGGATCACCTCGCGGATGTGCTTGATCCAGTCCTGCTTGTTTTCTATGCTGGACGCCTGGACGAGGCGAGATGGATCAGGTCATGGAGGGGCCCCTGCAGGCCCAGCCGGCCCCGCCCAGGCCTCCACACCCCTAGGCTCCCCATTCTGAAAATGACTTTCCAGCAGAAAAGCAACCTCATCCTGTCTTTAATTTGCCACCCAGTAAGTGACCCTGATCTGGAGTTTTGGTTTCCGCAAAACCACTCCGATCTCCCTGCACCGCGGATCTCAGGCCTCTGGGTACACTAAGGAGCAAGTATCCCCCACCTCACTACCTCGGAAGCGGCACTGGCTGAAGATGGAGACTTAGCCCTGCCCTCTCTGCACCCACCATGCAGGCGAAGACTGTGGGTCACTGGCTCCAAGTGTCAGCTCAGGCCCTGGGTCTGGACCTGAGGAACCACCCCCTCAGCCTCCTCTCCCTGCTCCCACAGGCTCCCCGCGGTTGGGACCCTCCTGTGACATGGGAAGGCAGCATGAACCCCAGCATCTGTCTTGGGGGCGCTGCCGCAGGCGGGGAATTCCCAGAGTGGACGCCACGGCCACCATCCCCTCGGGTCACACCACCTGCAGACCAGGGCGAGCGGCGGCCCAGGCAATGAGGCGGGCTCAGCTCCACCCACCACCACTGTGGAGACACGGATCTGGGGTGTGCCTAGGGACACGCAAGGCTGTGCCGGGTGAGCACACGTGGCCTCGCTTCACTTCATCTGGCCCTTCAATGGCCCAGGCATTTTCTACATGTTCTGGGCCTTCACAACAGTTTCCAATTTCCTTACGGAACACATCAACCTCCGATGATATAAACACGATCCCCTGGTGAGTGACGAGAACAACCTCCAAGCTAGGGATGAGATCATGGGGGCGCGGGCCCAGCATGTTCTCACGGGCACCATGTTTTTGAAAACACAAAGTGGAAGGCCACGTGAGAAGAAAATAAAAATTGACAACCCTTCTATAAATGAGTATTTTAACTGGAGGATCTGTCTTAGAGTGATTTAGGGGTAGCAATGGGGAAGTAAGTGAAGGATAGAATCCCAAACCAGATGAGATGCCAGGACAGCAGTGAGACCACGGGGGCAGGAGGGGGCGCTCAGAGGCGGGGAGGCTGTGTGTGAAGTAAGTGTCTCGGGATGGAAACCACTGAAACCCACAAACCCAGTGGGATTTAAATGCCTGACAGCAACGTTTGGTGGGGGGAGAGGGGCTGGTTAAACAAGGAGACAGAGATGCATCTGAGCCACAACATTTGGCAGTTTGGTGCAACTGAGGAAAACCGTCACTGCAGTTCAGAAACAGAGAGAATCCTCAGGATTTAAACACAGCAAATGACGACCGCGTCTACACAGCGAGATTCTTAAATTTTAAGAGATTCAACAGGGAGAAGGTGTCACGTTTCCAGAAACACAGCTACACCACTACGTAAAAGGTGCGAGTCAAAGAACGGATTTCGAAATAACTCTCTCCTCTCCAGGCTACAACAGCAAAAAAAGGTTAAAATTGTTGCTTGCGATGACTAGGCCATAATGATCACTACCACTGTCCAGCACCATCACCTCCTCCAGCACCACCACCACCATCACCTCCTCCTAACTCATCACCATCAACTCCTCCGCCACCAACAGCTCCTCCCCTACCATCCCTATCATTACTACCACCACCACTGAAGCTACACTCCACCACCCTCACACCTCCATCACCACTACCACCAGCGCCACACACTTCATCGCACTCTCACCACCACCACCTCTACCATGCCCCAGATCTACACACCACGATCCCCCTTGTCACCATCATTTCCACCATCTCTGCCACCATTGACACTCTTACACTATCTACACCACCGCCATCACCAAACTCTCTCCCGCCCTCTAGCACCATCACCGCCACGAGCGACATCATCACCGTCACTCTACCACGATAAAGCGAACTCTGAAATTAATAAAAACATCGTTTCCTCCAGTCTCTCCTTGGAAATCAGAAAAATATTACCTCAAACACCCTGAAAAACTGTCCCACCAAAGAGTCTACAGGAAGTCTTATTCTTTATTTGCATCCTGAGTATTTTAACTACATTGTAGATGAAACTAGTTCACACCTGCCACTATTTTGTAGCTGCACCCTGGGTGTGTATCGCTGCAGTCCGTCTGGATAAAAGCTTAATAAAGCTGCAAGTTTTAAGGTCCGAGCAAACATTAAAACTTCATGCCTTAGAAAAATTCACTTCTCGAAGATGTAGCTACCAGTGAGTGCCACTTACATTTTATAGGGCTTTATGCCAGCACAAGTAAGAGCACACTGCCTTGGCGATCATATATTCATTGCAAAAACAGCCCAACACCTTCATGTGAATAAAGTCCCGAGAAGCACAACAGCTTCCACAGAGCCCCCAAAGCTGGGATGTCCTGACAACAACTCGCAGCTGCTGTGATACAGCAGGGACTGGAAGGAACACAAGAGACAAAAGTGCTGACAAGCAAGTTCACACACCAGAACCCCATTATGTTTTTGGCTGGCCCCCCAATATTCTACCATTATTCAGCTACATCTTCCCCAAAGCATCCTGAAGTCACTTGAGGTCTTTCTAGGTCGCGCCAGAAGATAGCCTCACCTGTGTGTTCTCAAGCACACAAGGGAGAGGCACATTCGACACCCCCAGGGCTCTGGACTTTCCAAGCAGAGGCTGGAATCCTCAAGAAAGTCCAAGTGGAACAGTCAAAGGCCCTTCTCTCCCCCCCAAAATGATACGCTCAGAAGTACTCTGATTCTCTACCAACACTTGAAACCATAACGATATTATCCTCCTTTTAGCCCTGAAATTAGAAAACCACAGAGCCAGGGACCCCAGGAGCACTCCTGGCATGTTCAGGCTTGAAACTGTCAAAAGGCGCCCCCAGCCTCGTACGTGGTGACTTTGCTTTGAAAACCAAAGGTTGAGGGTGCAACGGGAGTCGTCGGTCTGTTTTTCCTTCATCCTCACACGAACCTCCTACATCCCGTGGACTCAAAGAATTCTTTTCCAGACCGCGAGGAGTTTAAAAAGGCCTCCTCCACTGATCTCTTAGAGGCAAACAAATGTTTAGCTCCAGTTATCGCCTGAGCAGAATACCAAACCGAATTTATTTGACTAAAGAACACAAAAGAAACAAAGTGATAGGAAAACCACTATGTTTCAACAACAGAAAAAGAGCAGGCGCAGCCCTGAGAACCTTCTGGGGGGCCGTTCCCAAGCGGCCGGCGCACCCACCTTCAGGACGATCTTGTTATCTGAAGTTGGCGTTCTCCCCACCCACAGTGCAAACTTGCAAGGATCTCCCTCGACGTGTTCTGTGACACCCAGCTCTGAGGTCTAGATAAAAAGACAATCATATAATTAGGTGGCTGGAAAATTCTGGCAGGAGAGAGAGAGCAGAGACCAAGAAAACAAGTTTTGGTGACTTGAGGTCACGCAGGAATGTAACGACACAGTTGGCTCGCACTGGCCCGGGAGCCTAAATCTCATTTAGTTAAAGGGAGGAAACTTCTTAGGCTGAGACTGGTTTCTGGTTTCGCTTTCGCCAGCATCCCTCAGAGATTCTGAGGCAGGTCAACAAGCAAATGCAGAGGAAGGACACCAAGATACTTGGGGAGCCTGCTCTCTCGGGAGTGGCCGGGCGGCTGCACTCAAGGTTGGAAACACCAACAGGACCCCTTCCTAGTTCTGCTGTGGCCACCGAGCGTTCCCAGCACTAAAGGGGAGCTTCACAGAAGGCAAACGATGTTTTGGCAGCTCAGTTACTTCCCAATTTGGTCACTGATAGCGTTGCCTTGTAGAATTTCATCAGCCATGTCAAGGAAGGGCGGCGGGAGAACGTTTCTCTCTGTAGCACATGCAGGTGTGAGAAGCAGAACAGGGCAGAGGAGAGAGGAAGGCCGACACCTCAGGCCTCCCCCACAACCAGGTTCTCCAGCCCACTTCCCCCTCGAGCAAAGGAAGTGATTCACAGTCCTTCAGGGGCTTCTGAAGGAACCTTAACTTTTAAAAGATAAATTAAGTGAAGATGCATCAGTTTCTAAAACACACTCCCTGGGCCTCTAAGGAGGGACTGAAGCCAGCTAGTGAAATAACTGGCCAGCAACGCTGCTCTTTTTCTTTCCAGTTAGAATATGATCTAAAGTGACGTAAGGCAGGCTGAGCTCCAAAAGACAATCTCAGGCAGGATACGAGCCAAAAAAAAAAGGAGGTATGAAAACCATTAGTTTGAATTTGCAAATTCCAGATTATTATTCAGGTGATTTTTACACTTGGAATTAATTTATCACTCTGGGAAGTGAGTTAATATACAGATATCATAAAAATGCATAGTATAAATTGTCCAAATTCCAGTATCTACCAGTATTTACAGCGACCTGCCACCCCTGAGCAGAGACCCAGCCATGTCCCAATGTAGTTTTATTCCTTCTGTGACAGTGACTATGCCTTAGCTTTGCCCAACCCTCCCCTGGCTGATCCGTGTTGCAAGCCCTGCGGGGGTGAGCTGGTCTTACAAAGAGGTGGCTTGGGCTTGCTTTCACCCAAAATGCAAAAAAAGCACCAGGCTGGATTCTCTTGCCAGGATGTACACCCGTGAGTTAGGTCAGAATCCAAATGCATTACTGTGTCTTGCAAGTACCCAAGGGTGGCTGTCTCCAGTGAGGCAGGGCTGTACCTCTGCAAAACTAGTTTTACCTCCAAATGTGTTCTCTAATGGGCATCTTTTACTATTGTTAAGAATCCTAAGTTTATTTTTCATAAAAAATGTCAGAGCTCATCATTAAGTCTCCACAGCAAGCCAGCCCGTCTCTTAAGTATATTCCATTGCTGGTGAATGAAAAGGTAATTATCATGATAGGAGAACTCAATTATAGACAGGATCAATTCATTTCTAAAGCTACTTAAGGCACACAGGAGATAAATGACACAAATTCACTTGCAAAGTGTTTTCTGATACTGGAGTTAGCCTGGAATTGAGAAAAGCGAGTTCTCAGTCAAGTGACGCTCAAGCTCACGAGCGCCCCCTCGCGGGCATGCGGCGGTCAGAGAAGTTCTTGGAATAATGTGAAAACAGGAGCTCGGTCCTTCCCGCTTAGGACAGTTGGGGAGGTTCAGCTGAGGGCAACGGTGGCTTTTCTCTACCTAAAGAATGATGCAGTTGTGTTTCCTTTCAACTAACAATTCTGAATGCTTGTACTTACAAACAATTTGCTTTTATAAAGGTATTTGCTTCTCCCACTGGAATCTTTCACTTCTTTACTAAATACTAAGGACATTTCAAAAAGGAAGAGGTGCCGCTCTCGACCCTTGCGAATTAAGGTTTTTGGGTCCCACACTTGGAAGGATTCCTGCAGGATAAGTTCTCCCTGAGACTCGATATTTTCATCAAACCCTAGAATGTGAGGGGAAAAAAAAAAGCAAAGTGAATTTGAAAGAAAAATCAAACATGATACACTAGAAAGCCTCCTGACTGTGTAAACATCTATAAAGCAACCATCTCAGATGCGGGCTCCCCGCCTGGACCCCGATGCCAGTGTCCCCGGCGTGGACTCTCCCTCCTCCCTTCCCAACCCCCACCAGGATACCTCCCCCTAAAACGAAGTGTTCTCCTCATTCAAACCACTTCTTGACTGCACCCGGATTTTTGGCTTGAGGGTCTGTCTCCCCAGGTTGGCACCTACCCTCTGAGATCTGGGGGAACTTACTTCTCACGTCACTCTCGGCGGCCCACCACACAGCCCCTCCGCCCGCTGACTGTCCCCAGGCCCTGCCGACTCCCCCAGGATGGGAACCTGCTTTCTCAGCCTGGACCACCCGCCCCGACACGCGCTCGGCCGCGTCCCCGGCTCTCTGCGCCAGCCTGCCTCCCCATCCTCATCAGAGCACATTCCTCCTCTGCTCAGCTCTCCCTGGAGGGGGCCGGTCATGTGGGTGGTAAGCTACAAGGCTCCACAAAGTGGGTACCCGGCCAGGGGCCACCAGCCCCCATGTTCCCTTCCGGGGGCTCAGAGAAGCCCCGTGTCCCACCCCACTGCGGTCGGTGCAGCCAGGCCCCTCTGTCCTGGGTCATGGGGGCAACGTGTGTCCAGCTTCTAGCTTCTGCCCTTCTGTGTGTCTCTCTTTGTCCTTGGTGATGCCCCCAGGGCGGCCTCCCCAGCCCAGGGCTGACATCAGAGAAAGACAGCACCCTCCAGCCGGGCCCGGCTGTCTGGGCCTCTGTCACCAACAGCAGCGCCTCCCCAGTCCAGCATCCTGCGCGGTGCCACCCCTGGCGATGGCCCAAGCAGAGGGGTGGGGGTCGCTTCCTGTCAGAGACCGGGTGACTTTAACTATACAGCTTTCAAAAGCTGAGCTGATTCTCCTTCGCCACGTGAGACACCACCTTGGGCTGCGCGGGCAGGTATGTGGCACCTGTGCTTCAAGGCCCCGCAAGTGGATTCGGGGAGGGAGAGGCAGCAAGCTCTTGCGAGGTTTAGGGTCTCGGAAGACGGATAGTCCCCACTCCCCCCAACATGTAACATGGGGCCAGGCAGCGGGGGTAGGTGGGCTGAGGTGCTGCTGGGACCTCAGGGGTGGGGGGGTCTCCTCTCCACTAAGGGACAGGGCAGGCTCACAGCAGGAGGAGGCACAGGCCGTGATCCAGGGAGCAACGAGACCAGCTCATCACAAAAGAGAGACTCAATCTGACTAAACCCAGGGGCGGCATGCAACGAGCTCCCCAGGGTGCGGGGCCCGGGCGCCCCACCTTCCAGCATGCTGAGGTGCATGGCGTCGTTGGCCCGCTTGGGCACGCTGAGCATCACCTCCAGGCCGTCCTTGATCTCACCCTTGCCCTCCTCGCAGCACGTCAGCAGCTCCTGTGGGGAGAGCACCATGAGCCAGCAGGACCAAGGCGGTGAGGCTCAGGCCAAGGAGAACCAGAGGAGGTCACAGTTCAACTGCAATAGTATAGACGTTAACTCACGCCTCAAAAATGACAACAATGTCTCATCAGGACAGCAAAGCACGGCCACCCCGGCTGGTTTTGAAGGTCACACCAGAGTCTGTCAGGGCGGCAGGCTTGGGCCTCGTTCCAGATGGTTTGTGCAACGGGACTCACCAGCACTTGGCCCTGGCTAGAGGGGTTTATTATTCGGAGCAATTTGGCAAAAAGGGTTTTAAATGTGCACTGCATGGAGAGTGACTGGCAGAGAACCTTCGGGGGTGGGGGTGGGGGTGGGGGTTGGGGGTGCTCAGCAGAGCTTCTGGGCAGGAGCTGGTCCAGCTTACAAATTAAAGCACCAGTTTAATAAAGTGACAGACTGACTGTGAGGTCACAGGGAGGAGATCCTCGGTGTCAGCTCAAGCTAAAGACAAAACCCTTCCATCTCAAAGACACGGAGGAATCTACTGCCCTTGAGAATTAGGGAGCGCAGGGCAAACGCGAGTATGAAGCGCACAGCCCCCGACTTTCTGCTCCATGTTTAGAGCAACCACGTGTTTCTGCAGGGCCGTCATAAGGTGACTCGATGGGGGCTTGATCAAGACGTGCAGGACGGCGTTTCCAGGGGAAAGACCCCATCACTGTGTCACTTTCACAAAAGAATGTGGACGCTTCCTACTGTTTCTAGATTTTTCTTATGAACAGAAAGAGGAGTGCCTCAGGCATTCATAACTCTACCTTATGTGTTTCTTTTCTATCTAGAAAAATTACATGATAACCTTCTTTGTGCTAGCACAGCGCTACGCACACAGAGTCACAAAATCTCGGTACCGGGATGAATAGCTGGTCTGTGCGTTCTAATGCTTGGTAACATTCACCAGCAAGGAGAGGCGGGTGGCCACTATCGGCTACAAGTCGTAACTATTTTTTTTGCACTCAAGAACACGTGTATCAGTTCCATGGGGCACATGCTGGGAGGCTCTCCTCACAGTTGCCCTCACTATTCTACCGTCAAGAGGGTAATGAGGTTTCTACAAGGGAGATTTTAACTATGACAATTCACAGTCACGAGGGGGCAGAGGTCAGAAGCACCCAAATACTTGGGGCTCGTATGGACGGCATGCATGTGTGTGACCCGGGACGACGGGCCACGGGGAGGAGTCATGCTGAGCTTGTTCTCTGCAGATTCTGTGGGAAATCTAGGCACCAGCCCTGGGTGACAAGAGGTATCTGGACAACTCGGCGCAGCCCTGACCCTCAGTGGGTAATCCGAACCCTGCTGACTAGCATGGGCTGAGGCTGGCTCGGTGCACAGCAGGCCTCTGGGAGTGGGGGAGCTAAATGATGCAGGATCAAAACGTCACTTTCTCTTCTCACTGGATGTCAGGGACTAAGGTCAGTCCGAGAAGTTCAGGTGCAGTCAAGGAATATACTCTTATTTACCCGCTGTGCTGAGAAACCGGTCAGGGCAGTAAACTAAAAAAATGAAATTATTCTGCTAGGTGTTAGTTCAAAATAGAGGGCATTTTACATAAATGGCCGAAGAGCAGTGCACAATTCGTATAATTTAGCAGGCCAAAGATGCTTCATACATACTTTTAAAAGGAGCTGATACTTGGTTATTCGCTGAACTGGTTTAATCAGGTAGGAAGAGATGGAATTGGCTAATCCATGCCGCTGCTGGATCTCCTGGATTAAAAACCAGAACAGAACAGAAGTCAACGGGGCAGTAGCTTGGACTAAAAATTTACACTTATTGATCCTTAAGATGAACACACACACATCGCCATCTCTAGATGTAAAGTGGAAATCACAACTGCTTCTTTTAAAATAATGAAATTAAGTTAAGTCACCACTTTGAACACAGACGACAGCAGCGTTGCCGGCCTCGCTGGCTTCCGTGTCCTGCAGGCGTTGGACAGTGAGCCACGGCTCAGCTGCCATCCCCAGGGGCTCAGTGGTCGGTCGGTCAGTCGGGGCCAGCAGGTCTCTGCTTTGTTTTCATCTCTCAACTATCCCAGGCCAGTTTGCACACCAACCTACTGTGTCTGCATCATCTTAGCTTCGGTATTCTTCTTAGCATCTTTCTGAAAGTTATCTTCTGATACCGCAGGCTTCAAACGAGGTCTTGTGTTCTCTGATATACTTTTCTGTCTTGCTTCCTTCAGCCGACCTCCTGGAGACTGATCTAGGCTTTTCAAGCAGAGATAATTTGTCTGTCGTTCCACTGCTGGACACCACCGTAAGTGGGAAAAATATTGTGGTGTTTGTGGTATCTTCTTTTGACAAAATTCTCAACAACATCTGAGATTTCGAAACACCGATCTCACCATTTCTGTTGACATTTTCACCTTATCAAGGGTTATATTATTCAAAATGGCTGCCAGATCACAGTCGCAAACATCTGACATATGTTCGATCCTGGTGAAATTATGCAATTCCCCTTAAAAGTTTCTTTGCTTCTGATATTTTCCTTTGGGGCGGAGGGGCAGGGGACCCGGAGGGAGGGGGGCCAGCTCCCTGGCCAGTCCCACACCGTGGCCTCCGTTGGCTCAGCCATGGCGGCCGCACGCTCCTGTCTCCTCTGAGGCCCCTCGCCCTGCTCAGCAGCTCTGCACAGTGCACCGAGGGGCGCATCTGTGAAATCTGAACGTAAGACATGATTTCCTGCATCCTCTGAGATGGCCGCGACATTGGCTTCAGCTACTGGCAAGGACCAAGGGTCTGTGAAATACTGAGAAGAAAACAGAGCTGTGTTCACGGTGACAAAGGCCACGTGTGGGGACGGTCCTGTGACCAACCACTGCATGTGGAGTGGACACCGCTGTCATCAAGAAGGACAACTGGGGAGTCACCTGCAGGACTTCAGCTCAAGGATGAGGCTCAGCTCTAGTCCACTTCCCAGACTTTCAGGAAAGAGCAGATTACCAGGCTTGGCCACGCACAAGTGTGAAGACAGAGAAAGTCTTGATTCCGAGTAGGCTATGCCCAGGATGGCACCTGCCCTCCAGGTACCTGATCTTTATCATGAAGCACGTGGCACACACTTGACTGAAAAGCCTTCTGTGTGTCACGTCCCAGGCTCCACCTTCTGATATACTAAGTAACTTCCCTGAAGTAACGTTCAAAAGCTGATGAGCTACATCTATGTTTACACCAGTGGGCATTTACCAGTGAATCCCCTGACCATCCTGTTAAAGAACACCTCTGTCGATTTTTACCAGAACACCCTTGATGAAAAGGGATCATCATGAAATTAAAAGGAGAAATGTTTTTAAACACGGCAAATTATTTTGTTTTAGAGGAAAAGAAGCTTGATTTAATAGTTTCTACCTTCCATGTATAATATCGTACATAAAAATGAGCAATTAACAGTAAGCACGATGCATGCATACACACAGATGTACACACCACAATCTGAATTTCCTGCAGTCCTACAGCTTGCAGTACTTGAGAAGGAGCTTTTAAAAGTAGACTGAAACAACATTCCAGGAATATTTTACCATAAATGTAATAGATTAAAAATGAACGTGAATTCGCAGCAGCTCACACAGCCTCTCCAGGCACGAATCACTCACATCAAAGTAGGAACCCGCGTGCTCCAGGATCAGCTGGGTGGAATCGGGCTTGTTTTTGCAATAGGTGACATACATCTGAAACTTGTCTGCCTATAAACGAAATAAGAAATTAGAATATCTCAGATGGCATCAAACCAAACATGACAAACTTTTTGTAGAAAGGAAGTTGTGAGGGTAAAGGAAACTGAAGCCCCAGATAAAAGCAAGCTACTATAAGAAGAGATACCGCCTGCTGATGGCCCTTCTAGGGCCTCCTCTGCCCTGCCAGTGGGGGCTGGGCACCCTGTCTCCCTTCTCACAATGGAGGGTGAGGACCTGGCCAGCTCATGACCAGCACACCCCATCACCAGGTCTCCTGTCTGCATCCCGTCCGGTGTAGATGGGCCCCCAGGCAGGGCTGGGGCTTTGTGGGACCCCAGGAGCCAAGCAAGCCAGCACACTGAATGTCTATGTCAGCTATCACTGCTGCCAACAAACAGCTCTTCTCACAACTAACACTAGCTGGAGAATGTACTTCTTCGAGGGGAAGTCTGTTCCTCCGTGTGCAGACCCAGTAGAAAAGGGTGACATCAAAGAAACGAACTGTATTCCTTCCAGCTCCCTGCAAATGTCCCAAGTCACTGTGAGAACAGGAACTGAGATGTCATTACCCAGGTAACAAAGCAGTGTCCAACGTCCTCCGGCAACTGCTCATATTTCTCCAGCTCTTTCAGGAATATGCTGTGGAGAATAAAAACATGATCCTATCATTAAGGTGTTTAAACATCTCTCTCGTGAGACAGGCCAGAAATCAGTTCAAGCCCAAATTTCATTATTTTAATCAAATGCAGTGAAAAATCTGTGCCTTCTGGATTTTAAGACTCAAGGAAACCCGTAGCTCCTCTTCATCAGGTAAGTCGGGGCGGCTCTGACGCAGCTCCCAGTTTAACCTTTTAAGAGAAACCTCTTAAACACCTTTTACGAGAAATTTTAACCGGGATGCTTACTTCTAGGAGGGTGCTAAGTGTGTAATTTTGGGGTGGCACATCCGATCAGGAGAACCCATTTAGCATGTGGGTGTTCCTGGCTGGGGTGGGGGCCAGTGAGGAAGACCCCACCAGCTGGGCCCCAGCAGCATCTCCCTACAGGCTCTCAGGCTCCAAACTCTCCCGAAAGGAGCAGCTGTTGCTTTTTAATAAAATCTTAAGAAGCCCCAGAGCCTCTGTGGCCAGTGGTAAGTACATTCCTTCTGCTCAGACTGCACATCTGGTGCATTCTCCACCCCTTCTTCCTGCTTATGAAAAAGATCAAACGAGGGCTAGTGGCCCGAGGAGAGCGCCTCTGTCTGGTTATTGACCCCAGGACGCATCAGAGGTGCTGATGAGAGAAGGCAGGGTTCCTACAGTCTTCCTCATCTTATTTCTGCAGAATGATCATCATATAAAGTTGAATCTGTATAAATATGGTCTCTAGAGTGTCAGCTTCTTTGAGGAGAGCCTGACAGGCTTCCTTCACATGCCAACCAAGTCAGGGAACCTGTGCTTTATTCAAATAGAAACTCTGAGTCCTGAGGAAACGCCATGCGGTTCCAGGAGCGGCAGCCGGCCCCCCCAGACAGAGCGCTCACTTGTTGTGAAACTCGTAGATCTCCTGCATATTCCCGAAGATGATGAGCTCCTTGTTGACAATGCCGGGGGGAATCTCCTCCACGCCGCTGGTCATCTCCCACAGGTAGGTCTGGAGGGAGGCAGGACAGCATCAGACCCACGCCCACCCCATTTCCAAGAAGCAGGCATTCCTGACATCTGGAAACGCAGCCCCGGAGCTCGTGTCGAAATGGGAATGGAAGCTTCTACAAAGCATGAGAATCGTGTTTTATCAAAAGCCGGTCAGCAGCTGCTCCTGCTGGAGGATGGCACCGGGCTTTGCAGCAACAAGTCTGCTCCTGGCTTTGAATTTTGGGATCAACCTACCCCAGAAGGTACAACAGAGTAACTAAAGAAGAAGCTGCCCGTCACAGTAGCAGGCACATTGCTCTGAGGCTGCTGTGAAATTCCCCACAAAGGGCGCCTGGCCGGCCGGCGCATAACACAGAGACTCCGTGGCCACAGCCATGTCATCCCCGAAGCGACGGCAGGCCCAGAAGAAGGGCTGGCCTCACGTGAAGGTGGCTGCTAAGCCACGTTCAGTCTCAAAAACAACAAAAGTGTGAGTCTGTTTAAAGGAAATACCGACAGCTGAGAATGAAACACGAGCTCCCACCCAGCCTGAGCAAGCACGTCAGCGGCACTTACGTCCATGCACTCACGCAGGTCCCGGACGTAGGCCTTTTCCGTCTGGATGAGCTCGGCCATTATGAACCTTGACCAGAGGCAGAGGGGCAGGTTAGTTCACACCCCGCACACCCCGGGCTCTCTACCTGGGGTTCACAGTGCACTCAGGTGCTCTTTAAAGCCTGAGTCAGGCATCTGTGTTGGAGAATGAACCCAAGAACAGCTGGAAAAGTAATAATAAAATCCAGCCACCAACTCAAAGAAAAAAAAATCTTGGAAAAAATTTTGTTGAGGTTCCCACAGATCGGGTCACTCAACGCAGCACCACTGACACGGGGGCAGGGGCGGTTTTGAGGGGGCTGCCCCTGAACTACAGGGTGTTTAGTAGAATCTGGGGTCTCTACCTACTGGAAGCCAGTAGCACACATTTCCCTGGACCCCGTGTGATCCCCCCAAGTGCCCCAGGGGGGACACAATAGCCCTGGACTAAGAACTAGTGGCTCAGAGCCTCCTTGCTGGAAGGGGCTGGGTGGTTCCCTAACTGGGGAGCACGTCTGTGCTGTTCCCGTCTGCTCCTTGGTCACCACTCATGGCCTGCGGGACAATGCCCCGTGTCACGGTGACTCAACGACCTGCCAGCCGCACAGGACAGGGGGCAGGGGTCCGGGTGAGGACAGAGACAGATGCGCAGTCTGCGCTGCAGGGCATGTCCAGGCCCAGCGAGCACTCGCTGGCCTCGCAGCCCCGCAGCTGTCCAGAGGACGGGCTCCTCGCTTCTCCGCGACCCCGCAGGCCCCGGCGCCACTTACTCTTTCCTGCGGGCAGATTTCCGCTTTTCTTCATTGAGCTCGTGAGCGGCGTCCCGAAGCTTCACCTCTGACCCGGGGATGCTGGCGGGGATGATGTCGAGCTGGAGGCTTTTACTCTGTGGGACAAGAGCGGGAAAACTTCCTTGGTCAGACCCGCCGGCAGGACACGCGAGAACGCGGCGGGGCGTCGGGGCACGAGCCAGTTACCGATTTGTTGGAGTCGGAGGAGATCCCCAGGGCTTTCTCCAGAGAGGTCCTGTACTTCTCCATCCGCAGGGAGAAGTCTCTGTACCTCTTATCCACGGCGGTGACACATTTTTTTATCTCCGCCGCATGGGCATGCCCTTTGTCACAGAAGCCGTCGGCCAGCTGTATCAACAGCTTCACCCTCTCTTTGGTTTGCTGGAAAACACGACAGGAGAGCAGGGTGAAGCCCATGGGCCCGGGCACGGCAGCCTGCCTAGACTCAGCTCCGCCAGGGCACATGAGCTGGCGGTGGGGACCAGGCGGGCCCCCAGTCCCTGCCGTCAGAGCCCCGATCCCTGGCTAGCGACTCCCCTCCGTTCCTCCACAGGAAGGCGTCTTAGCACCTCCAAGCAGGAAGCCTGGTCTTCTTCTTCTCTTCCAAAGACATCCTCACCTGGTAGATGCGCGATAAACATGTGCAGAGTGAATAACTGAACATCACTCGGCTGGTCTCAACAGCTCCCAGAGCCCCTCTGAATGCCCAGGCCTGTGCCCAGGGCCCCAGTGTGGACATTCTCTCTTAGATGTACTTTATTCCTTGATGTACTTTATTTTATATTTTTTCCCTAGACGGAGGCAGGCTGGAGCAACGCAGCCGCGAGCCAGGGACCACAAGGAGCACAGGACGCAGGAAGAGCAGGCAGGGGCTGCCTGGAGCCGTCGGCGGACGGGGAGCGAACGCGCTTCTTAACTTTTAAAGTAAAGTCATAAATGTTGCCTGTTTAGGACTCTCGAATAAATGATTTCACTTATATATATGTAGAAAAGATCTGTCATTAATTCTGACTTTTTATAAAGTACGGGTAACCATGAAGTAACGGGGTGTGAGGCGGATGGCGGTGACCTCCCTCTACTCTGACTTCCACCTGACCCTTCATCAGCTCCAGCTACTCCAGGTCTCCTTCGACATCCCGCTGGCAACGAAAGCATCACAAGGCCACTCTTCTGCTATGGAATTCGCCTTTCTCACTTAACCTTTCCCTAGAAAATTGTATGGCTAACAGAGCTCAGGAAGGTGACTTTAAAAATCCCCCAGAGGAAGGCCAGCATGCAAAACCTCGACAAAGTATCTTTGTGCGACAGAAGTTTTGGGAACCACAATTCACTCAGGCAACCTGGAGCGCTGAGAGTCGCCCAGACTCCAGGGAACAAACCCCCAAAGCACGTGCTTGCCTTTAGGTCCCTGCCTGTCTGAGTCAGGACCCTGGCCTGACTCCCTAGTCCCCTGGCCATCTCCCTCAAGGCTTTCCTCAAACAGAGGCTCCTTCTCATGGGCCTGACCGCCTTCTGCCTGCCCCCCCACCCCCCGCCCTGTCCTTCCCCGGGGAGCACCACCTTCCAACGGGCCCTCGCCTGCCAATCCTGTCACTGCCCATCCTGCTCCAGTGAGGACACACCTCCAGGGGCATTTGTTTCACCCTTCCCGGACCTTCCGTGTGTCCAGGGCACCAAATATTTATAGAGAAAGTAAATAACATTAGGTTCCTTTCGCCAGCGTGTACACACCTGTGACTTTAATGGGCGTGGCTGTTACTCTTAACAGGCAGCGACGCGTACTTGTCAAATATATGAAAACAGAACCCAAGGCACATTAGTATCTCTGGGACAAAAATCTCTAATGCTGACTCCATGAAAGTGGTTTACTGCAAAGAGTCAGCGAAGCCTCAACACTATATATATTTTAGGACCTTTCTTTTGCGTGGAAATACACTCGCGTGAGGGCGCCGAAAGGCAGAGGTGTGCCAAGCAGCGCGACAACTCTGTGGATGGGGGAGCACAGGCCTCAGGACCAGCCGACGACATAAGAAGGCCAAGCTCCCAACTTGCCAGCACACAACAGCCTCGGCTGTGCCGGCGCAGCCTCCGCGCCGTCACTAGCAGAGCACAGGCTGCTCCTTGTTTGTATTCGGAGCCTCGTTAATAGTTCGCTGGAGGGTGTTCCTGTCAGTTAACATGTTCCCACTGACAGACCTTCGTGTTCTGCCTGTCTTTTCCTACCACAAACAGCAGTGCAAAAAAATAGCTGTGTGTCCTGGCACTGCTGGCCCGACACGGGGCTTTGGGGGAGACAGCAGGTGCGTTGTGATGCTGAGGAGGTGCTGCAGGTCCCCCCGCCCCCCGACTCACACCCTTGTGGGGAAGCCTTGACAACACAGGCTGTCAAGCTTTCTGATCTTTGCTAATCTCCTGGGTGAAAATGGAACCCAGTAGAGTCTTTACAGATACTGTCCTTATTTTAAGTAAAACTGGTAATCTTGTATGTTTAAGAGTCATTTCTAATTCCTGTGCTGTGAGCCATCTTTTAATGTCTAGTCCATTTTCTTTCTTTGCTTGTTAGTGATTTGCAAAAGCTCTTTACCATTGGGAAACCAGCCCTCTGCAATGTGAGTGGCAAACGTGTCTTTTTTATTGGCCCTTTTTTATTGGTCTTTGGTTATGGTGGGCCATCCCTTGGAAAACACTACTTTTTTGTTTATGTAGGTGAATACAGCATGTTTTCCTTGATGTGTTTTGCGTCCTGTTACTTCTTCTATCCTGTTTGGGTTTCCACTGTGGACATTGACATCTTTGGGCATTTATCTAGATATCCAACTTAATTTTTCCCCAGAGGGCTACTTAACACAATAAAAAGAAATTCCTATGTTCTTTAAAAGGAAAAATTGCAAGGGTTTTCAACCTCATTCTCCTGTTACCTGTGGAGGTGGTCACAGACACAGATCTGGGTTTTAAAGTTATGTAAGTATTATGAGTATTTGAATAGCCCCATCTGTAGACATCATCAAAGGACATTCAAAGAAATAAACACAGATCACAGAGTGCGCATAAACCATGTATTATCCACTATGAACAGAAATGAGACCCTCACAGCAGAAGCGCCGCTGCGTCTACAGGAAGGACAAGACACTCCTTACCTGTGGAGGCAGGACAAGTCAGCTCTCCTCACCGTGGGGTGCCCTCCGCCCAGTGCTCACGGCCCCTCTGGGTGCAGCTTGCCCGAGCCCCTCCCTCCCCCAAACGCTCATGGTGCCCGGGGAAGAGCCAGGTCTCTGCTGAACCCCACAACGGGCGGTCTGTCTGCACCCCACAAGGCTACGCTCCCCCAGGATGGAGACCATGGGTTCCCAGGCCAGGCACCCCAGGGTGAAAGGAAGGAAAGAAACTCGGAGCCGGGGGTGGGGGTGGAGAGTGCAGAGCAGAGGGCGGTGAAGAACAGCAGGAGGAGCCAGAAATTGTTACAGGAAACATAAAAAAAGGTACAAACAAACAGAACACAAAGTGGCCGTTGTCATTCTGAATGATTTAAAAATTCCCCTTTGATATGTTTTCAAAGCCAGGTTCAGGGCCACACAAGAAAATCACTCTTTTTACTTTGATTCTTTTTAATCAAATATATTATCCAGCTTGACCACTATTTTCTTCTCTTAAATTTGAATTAATTTTCAGCTTTTCCCAAAATCTCACATTCATTGTCAAGAACCGAGCCACTCCTGGAATCATGACAAAGAATGTATAGTCCAAAACTTTGTAAAACAAAGACTTTCCACGTCTCGAAACTGTTTTGAGGCGAGTGCCCTCTGCAGCTCGGCCCTTCGGGAAAATACCACCATGTGGACCATTTTCCGCGTGCTAAAAATTCCTCTTTCCTCACCAATACTCTGTGTACGCCATGAAGATGTCTATTCTGAGTTGGGGAGGAAAGCGAATATGCCTCCAGCTTATAGACTCTCACAGGGACAGCCAGCCGGGACACGGCCCGAGGACGGGGTGCGTGTGAGCTCCCCGGGCCATGCCACTGACCAGGGAAGACGCCCCGAATGACACTCACACCAAGCTGGTACCACCAAACAGTGTTTCATAAAACAGGGCAAGTGCTCAGAAAATATTTTGGAAAAGAAAAAGGGAAAATGATGAAAGAAAGGGACAAGGGGCGGGGGAGGGAAGGAAATGGGAGGAATTTGCAGGAATCAGAGAAATAAAGGGGACAGGTAAAGCAAGTGGGGCGGTGTCCACCCCGGGGCAAGCAAGCAGGAAAGGCAGGAAGGGCATGGGCAAACCACGGACGGTCCCCGGCTCCCATGACCCACGGAAGGGTCCCCGGGTCCCGCCCTCCAGCGTGGGAGCTGCTTGTCAGTTGACGTTTCTGAGAGCTGCGCTGGCCGAGACCCGCTCTAGTGGGACGTGGAGGGCGCCGGGAGCCGACCTTACCTTGGCGGTGATCTGGAACTCCTCGTGCTCTTTCAGGAGCTCCTGGGTGTGCTGTATGCTCGACCCCGTGGAGGTGTGCGTGGACAGGTAGAACTCCCCGTTGTCATGGATCCACTCTAAGGCCTGAAGGGGAGGGAGGGATCGCTCAGCACCGGGCGACGGCGCAGCAGCCCACAGCCCTCGGTGTCCGGCCTGTGAGCACCAGCCAGGGCTGCGCGTGCCCCCGCCAGAACCCGGCTTCTGGAATCAGCATCATCCAGTTTTTTTAATTGACATATGAGAAAGCTGTATGGAGCATAACTACAACCGTAGGAACTGGATGGTTTAACTAAACAAGACAACGGAAGCAGACATGAATCCCAGCTTGCAGATGTCCAGTGTTAGGTGTTCCTGCCTCTTCTATGTCCAGTGTGCCCAGGTGTGACTACCGGCTTTGGGGGGCACCAGCAGAAGACCCATGAGCGTTGTACAGCAATCTGTCCCTGAGCAGAGGCCGGCGGGGAGTGGCTGAACCCTCCTGTTGCAGGACAGAAGGAGCCACACCTGATGGGGGGGCCAGGGGTGACCGCACCTGGACAGGTGGGCACCAGAGAGATGCAGATGGCAGCACAATGACTCACTTTAACTGGTATATTCTTTTATATTTTTAAATGGAAGCCCATTTTTTCTTCCATTTCCCTGTATCTGGAGTGAAATCATTCCTGTTTAATCAGAGACATCTAAGAAAGCAAAGCTAATAGAAATGCTAAGAAAGCATAAAAGGGAGCTTTTACATTTGCCTCTTGTAATTGCAGAGCTGTGATTTGCTGATCTTGGCACAGAAAAGTCACTGCCTACTAGATGTTTCACAGCATTTGTGGTGTTTGGGAGGAAAACTGAAACGGAAACCATGGCCCAGACCCCATCCCACCAGCCCTGGCCAGGACTGGCTCCGGTCAGCCCGCGCACGGCCGGCCCATCTGGGAAACGACGTTTGCCTGACACTGTCGAGGCAGGAAGCTGTCCATGGGCTCAGAGGCCCTGGTCTGTCCATCCGTGCGGTCACCCTGGACGCTGTGACACCGTCACCTTAGATTGGAGGTGCAGTGAGGCCACGCTGTGACAGGGGCATAATAGGTGGACAGCTGGGTTCAGAGGGCCAGGTCTGCCGAGGTCACCAAGGACTGAGGCACAGAAACGACCCTGTGCTCAGTGGCATGGAGGACGCCCTCCCTCCCGCGTGGCCCTGGCCTCTGACTTCTGGACAAACGGCTCACAGGTTCTTATGCTGCTGCCAGGGCTGAACAGCAAGGACAAGAACGCCAGTGTCCAGGTCAGAGGTCAGGGGTCTGCTCTAGACTGACCTGCCCCGACTAACCGCAGGGCAAAAACACCACACCCACTACTTCAGGTGGGGGACACTTCAAAAAGACAGTCTTGACGTCTCTGCTCTCGTCAAATGCATGATATTTTTTGACTCTACTGAATTATTAGAAATAACGTCACACCTGAGTTAATTTTAGCTCAATTTATCTAAGGAACAAAATTCCATCTTGAAAATATAAACACACACCCACCGCAGTTATTGATAAAGTGTGGACCCCAAATCCTCAGGGGTTTTGAGTCATGGCTAACATGGCATGGGGGGCAGAGGAGGAAAGCTGAGGGGTGTACTTGCCAGCCCCCAAGTCACTGGGTGACACATCTAACGAGCTAGGAAGGGGGGGGGGTTCCTTTGCACAACAAACTGCCAGTTGAAAGTGAAACTGTTTTGATGATTAGAAAATGGTTTTCCCAGGACTCCCTGGTGGTGCAGGGGTTAAAGACACAGCGCTGTCAAGCTACTGCCAGCTACTGCAGCATGAGTTCAATCCCTGGGCAGGGAACAGACCCACATGGCGCAGCAGACCTCTCCTGTCTCCCCGCTGTTCCCCTCAGCAGTGGATTTCAGTAGATCCACCTGTTCTGCTCTCCGCTCTGTCTCTGGTGAATCCTCTCACAGTCTCCCTGCCCTGCACCTCTGGCCTGCACCCCAGTTCTTGCATGTATAAATAAATAAATCTTTTTTAAAAAAGTGGTTTTCCCCCATGCTGGGGTGTCCCTGCCCATTGGCCAGGTGGCTGGGGCCTGCCAGGTGGTGGGGCCGGGGGTGGCAGTGGTCAGGGCTGGTGGTGGCTCACCTGCTTGGCGCTTCGCTCGAAGACCACATACTGCTGGCACTGGTCGAGCCGTCGCTTCCGCATGGTCCAGTAGTGCAACACCCTGTTCTCCCGCTGGAAGAGCTCGTTCAAGATGTCTGGGGGGAGACAGAGACCGCGTGGGTGCTGGTGACCGGGAGCCCCGCACTCCCCAGATGTCTGTGTTAAGGACGGTTTGAGGAAACACCTTTGCAAGGGTGAATGTTACCCGGGCACCTGCCCGCACGCCCAGCGCCCCGGGCAGGCAGCAGACCACGCGCTGCTCTGACCCCAAGTCACTGTCTGGGGGCTGAGCTCGCCAGCAACGCGGCCTCCAGCCTCAGGCTCCTGAAGGGAGGAGCGGCTGCGCCCCGCGCGGGCCACTCTGACCACAGCTGGGAAGCCTTCATCTTGGACGTTTTGTTCAAAACATTAAAACCTGCCTGAGAGAGTTTAGTGGAGAGGTCCAGAATGTGTGTAAAACGGAGCACTAACAGAAAAGAACGCTTTTAGGAAAATTAAACCAAGACTATAAACTCGCAGGCGACGCAAGGAACAAAGCCGAGAAGCACGAAGCCAGAAAGGCAAAACACCGGCTGACGTCAGAATTGAAAATGTCGTAACTGGACGGTCACCGGGCTGAGAACAGTCACAAGTGCAAAGGGGAACACTCCTCAGAAAAGTGGCACTGTGACCTCGTTTGCTTGCGAGTCAACAGAAAAAACACGAACAGAAAGGAGCAAGAAGCTCGCGGCGCTGAAAGCACAGCCGCCAACACCCAGGGGCAAGGCCGTCCTGCTTGTCCTGGGGGGGCAGATTGGGAAGGGGAGCAGGTGCCCGGGCCCAGCGCTGTGGGAGGCGGGAGGGGAAGGGCCCTGGCGCATCTCTGAACCGGGAGCTCCGTTCTCAGGCGTGCAGGGTGTACACAGACACACGCGCGCACACACACACACACACACACACGCCCAGCACCGGCCGTCCCAATGCGTCACGCCGGCAGCAGCACTCACTTTTCACTTGCTGCTCCGGGGCCTTGATGTGGGTCACCATGCCCGGCATGTTCACGCTGTTCCTGTGCAGGTACTTGAGGAAGACATCGGCGTTTCTCCTCGCGAGCGTGCAGGCCTGCGAACAACAGCGCCACGCGGTTCACTCGACGCCTACAAATGTGTTTCAAGCCACGAAGGTCCACCAACGTGGTCACCTGACACTGGCGCCTCTGGCCCAGCGCGGTGTGGACAGTACACAGGTTACATCCTGTTCTGCAGATGCTGGCAGCCATGCTGGGAGCTGCCCTGGGCAGAGGCCTGTGAGCCAGGGTCGGGGGGTGGCCAAGGGCCTGCAGTCAGAGAGGAAGGGGCTGAGCCCCCTCCATGGCTGGGCCTGGAGTAACCACATCCCCTGGCCCAAACCTGACGCAGCCCAGGAGCCAGAGCCCCAGGCCGGCATGCTGGGTTTCTGAAAGGGGCAGACAGGAGACACTTTCTGCTCTTAAGTCAGGTGCTCGTGTGCCCCTGCTGTGGGTCAGAGCAGTGTGGGGGGTGAGGGAGTGGAGGGGCGGCGGGGCCGGACTGGCCTGCGGTCCAGTGCCAGGCCCCGGTTGAGCCATCGTGTTCTACTATGTGGTGTTATTGTGGTAACAGCTCACTGGTACACGCTGAATAAGTAACCTCATTAATGCAGTTTAAAAAAAAAACAGGCATTTTCAGTAAGAGCAAAAGGGTATAAATAAAGGATAAAAATCTTTGATTATATTAAAATTGGAAATATCTTGCACATTTCCTGTCCTGGATCCGGGCTGTCTCCTCCTCGCGGTCAGTGGTATTTAGAGACCCCAATCCGGCACCGGATACACCCAACCAGGGGATTGGTCACTGTTTCCAGTCTTTTCAGCAGATGGAGCTCAGACACTTGCTTTTCTTTTTTCTTTTTTTTTTTTGGACAAAGAGAAAAGGACATCACGAGACTCTATGGATTAGTCTGAAATAAGCTGCCAGACCAAACAGCCAGGCTGTGTGCGGGGCTCCCAATACTGCCCAAGCTCGACATGAAAGCACAGGTGACTGTAAGCGACTGAAACACACCAAATATATTAAAATCCATGACAACAGTAAAAAGCCAAACTGGCTGTATGCAGAGATCGCTAGGGCAACAGCTCATTATTCTGATAACGAGCTGTTTTTATCCCGCTAGACTGGTAAACCAAGGGAAAGAAGGAAGCCTTTACTTGGCCTTTTGTGGACAAAATTCACTTTAGAGGAAGCAAAGAGCCGAGGAGGAGAAACTCGAGCTAATCAAGGCAGAGGAAAGGCAGAACGCACCATTTTACAGTTCCTAATGAAACCATCGCCACTGGCTACCAAAGCCAGTGGGCGCAAGGCTGACGGGAGAGGGCAGGGCTGACCCGGCTTGAAGCCCCGATGCAGCCTCACACCACAGAGCAGCAGCGATGCAGACTGACTCACCTCCTGCCTGGCGTGGTGAAGGGACACACGCAGCCCGTCCAGCAGATGTGCAGCACGTGTGTCCGCACACACTCTCAAACCCAAATGGGATCGACCACTCAGTCTAACGGGACTTGAGAGACCAGGGATGGGGTCACTACGCTCCATAGGATGCCGTTAGCAAAGTCCCGGGGGGGAATCCAGTGAGGATGAATCCTGTGTTTAGTAAGTAAGTGGTAGTGGAGGGAGGGTAGGTTTCGATTACAAGTGATTTACCAGTCAAACCAGTGTGGGCCTTACTGGGATCTCAGTTAAAAACTTATCAATATTTATGGGCTAGTCAGAGAAATCTGAACACACTGGATTTCAGATAAAGTAAGAGTTAATGTTAATAGTAAGACCTGGTTACGGTATTGGGGTTATGCTTCAGAAAACATAGAATTAACTGTTTAGATACAGAGCAAAGTATTTACAAATAAAGTGATGTACTCTCTAGACTGGAAAACAGCCCAGTGAGGTGGGCGTACACCTGTGTGGGTTATCACGGAAGCGCAGGAGCAGCACAGGTGGGCTCCTTATCCATTCTGTCTACTTCTGCCTTTATCGTTAAAGGCCCAAGATAAAATGTTAAAGACATACAGCCTACAAACACCACAGAATGCAGCTGAAGGAAGGAATCGGACAGGCTTGTAATTATCACTGTTTTCTAATTTGACCTATGTCTTTCTTAATTACATTAATTCACCGGCATTCGGTTTTGTTTTACCAGCCGGATTTCAGAGACAGACTCTGGGGAAGCCAGTGTTTCTCACTCAGATTTGCTCAAGAAAACCTCCGTGGTGGACGCTCAAAATAAGTCTGCCGAGAGCATCTCCAAAGAGTTACAATTTTTTCCCCAGATCACACAACAACTCTCTGTCAGGACTGACCATCACCTTCAGAAACGAGCAAAAGTATTAAAATGCAGGAAATGGTGTCAGGTCTCGGCACCAATGAGGGAAAACCAGCCCTAACAAAGCAACAACGGAAACTAGACAGCACACCCACGTCCAGCAGATTTGCCTGTCAATAAGCCTAAGCTCAGAAGGTCCCTGAGGGTCCAAGATGCAGCAGGGAAGCCCTGGACGGCCCAGGCCTCTACACGCTTGCTTTGGCTTTGAGCACTTGTTAAAGATTCAAATTGTTCCAAAGGACACTGGGGGCTTAGGAATGACTAGGGTATGTTCTAAAGCTGTCTCGTGGAATTCCTCCTTCAGAGCTCTTCAGACGTCCAGCCTGGCCCTTCCTGCTGGAGCACTAAGCCACAGGGGGCTTCGGCTCTGTCTACACCCGCTCCGTGTGCGCCGTCCGCTGCGGGCCTGACTCCACCCGAGACGGCGGCTTCCAGAGGAGAGCGCTGTGGGCCAGAGGCATGCTGGAGCCACCAGATCCCTCTCGGTCCTGAATCACCTGGTGCTGGGGCTTCCGTTCCCCCTTTATTCCACACAGATGTCTGCCCTTTCTCGGGGACATTGCGGGACAACGCAAAGCACAAATGAGCAAGATTTTAAGGTTTCCTTTGCTTGACTAACTCAATGCTCACGCCCCCTTCCCCCGGTGACAGAGCGAGAGCTCCGGGCGCAGGGTCCCGGGAGACGTGGCCCCACCAGGCCACGGGTGAGTCTGCTCCTGGCCCCCAGCCCGGGCCGGGCCCACCGCTGCGTGAGGCGCCAGCACCCGAGCGCGGCTCCTACCTTCAGGAAGGCCTCCTTCTGTTCCAGGTGCTTGCTGATCATGGGGGTGACGTGATCCGTCTCGGAATTGGGGCCCAGTTTGTCCGCCCCCCCACACCAGTCCTCTTCCCGCTTGTACTCCTGCTCCAGGCTCTCCAGGACGCTGCAGACCTGTGAGCAAGAGTCTCGACTCAGACACGGGCTCCTGAGCCCGGCTACGGGGGTGGGGGCGGCCAAGGACAAGGGCCCCCCAGAGCTCCCGGGCCGACCTGAAGACAAAGGCCACGGGGCCAGGGTAGAGGCCTCTTGGAACAGGAACGAAATAAAAGCCGTTTCCTGTCTCCCTCTGAGCTCCTTCAGACCATGTGCTTAAAAGAGGGGAGGGTGGTTCTCAGCAGCTCTCGGGGTTACCAGTCTTTACACCAAAGAGAAGCCGAGAGAGCCTGGGCTGGGGAAAGCTGCCTTTGGACAGGTCTGGGGGTGACGGATGGGCAAGTTCGTGGGGCCTGAGTCGTGCAAGGAAGCTAAGCTTAATGCAGAGGCCGGCAGCGCGGGGCCGGCCTGCCCACCTGCTCCGAGGTCTTGTAGAAGGCCACGGACGCATTCACCAGCTTCAGGCGGTCCTCCATCTTGAGCATGAGCTGCTGCCAGTGCGAGGCCACCTTCTCGGCGCAGTCCCGGATAGTGTCCATGTCGTAGTGGCTGGCCTGCAGCATGGCCTCCGCCTTCTGCTGCACCTGCAGGGCGCTCTGGTGGGTCTTCTGTGGGGGAAGCAGAGGGAGGGCGTGTCACAAGACCCACGGGAGGGCCCGGAGGCGCTGCAGCTTCGGCCCGGCCTGCATTTACAGAGGCCACCTCAGCTGGCGGGACCTTCTGGGAGCACAGCAGCTTAGCAAGGAAAGTTTTCATGCCTAGCAACTGTGCCTGTATTTAAATTACCTAATGAAGGATGAAATGCCTTCCAGAAGGGCCTTAGCAGTGGGGTTCTCAGCTAGAGAAACACCAGGAAAACCCTAACAACCGGTACGCTAAACAAGCTCTTGGAATGTTCCGAGTTTATTATTTCTATTGCTATTTCTTACAACAGTTGCTGGAAGCAAATGCACGGGAGAAAAGGAGGCAAAGTGAAGGCTTTTTATTTTCATTTTTACCGTAAACTTTGGACTCGAGTGAAAAGTTTTCGGGAACTATTGACTTAAAAAAGAAAAACAAGCTTTGTGAAAAGTGCAGGAGGCATGAACGGCATGCTCTGGGGGTGCACCCCTCAAAATGAGTCTATCAGATCCAGCCAGAATCCCTGCCGGGCCCCAACCAGGTGACCCCATGGGGGTGAGGGGTCCTGTCCTCTCCAGGAAGGACCCGAACGCTGTGCAGGGGAGCGGCTGGGGCACCAGGGTCTTTGCAGACATGGGATCTTTTCTGTGCTATTTTAAAAATGGCAAAATTTGACATTTCACCTGAAAAGGTGCCACAGACCCCACAGAACACAGAGTCAGTGCAGCCCCACCCTCAAGTGGACCCAGCGACCCACGGTGGGAACCTGGCTCCTGGCTGGCACACCCACCTCGATGGCGTGTTGGAACTGCTCGTGCTCCCGCTGCAGCTGCTCCGCCTCCTGCAGCGAGCTGGCCGTGATCAGCCCCGCATTCAGCATCGACTCCCCGTTGCGGATCCAGCCCAGCACCTGAAACACCACACAGGCACCTCCAAGCGGGGGCCTCTCCCAGCCCCCGGGGCCCAGTGTGGGGTCTGCCAGGCACCAGCACCTCTGTTTCCTTCAGTAGCATCTGCCCATAATGTGGCATTTTTTTTTAATGACTTCTGTTCTTTCCAGTTTAAATAGGAGCTGGAAAGTGGGAGGGTCCTGAGGACTGTTGTTATTAGTCCACAGGTTGAACTGGCTTGAGAACCACAATTAGAAAACCTACTATCTCCCAGAATCCCCTGGTAATCAAGAACAGTATTTTTTGTTCTTTTCTTGTGGGTGAACAGGCAAAACCAGCCAACTGCTCGGTAACAGGGCTACTTTATTTCGCTGACATAATTTCCAATTCAACATCCACATTAGATGGCGTGAACTCAGGTGTGCCTCGAGGCTCAGGAGCAGACTCTGGGGTCCTCAGCTCTGCACCAACAACAGGAGTCCACTCTGAAGTAGAAGGTGATTCTGGGGGTCCCTGTGGCAGAGCCCAAGCCTTCCCTACTCAATACCCATTTCCTCTTCTCGTTTACTCAGTAAACCGCAACATTTGGGGAGAATTTAAAACAGAACAGAACACCCCTCCGCCCAAGCACAGGTCAGTACAGGCGTGACACAGTTCCAGCCACGGCGCTCAAAGCTGAAGCCTCTGTGCAGGCATTACTGACACAGGCATCTCTCCTTACGCCCGCCCCTTCCGGCTGCCTGGAGCGTGGTGGTGACGCCTGGGGCTACGACTGCCATTAGGAACCACGCGGAAACTGAGACGAACATCAGCAGTCTGCCAACCCCGACTCCCCGGGGAAAACAACTTTCTAAGCCACTATTTTTAGGCACTGCCACTTACAGGCACATGCAATTCCCACTGATACATTGTTTTTCCTTTATTTCTCAGGTGTGTTGTCTAGTTACAGCGATACTTTATTAATTTGTCTTTAAAAGGGAGGTCACTGTACTTGATCTCATTGCATGGGAGACAGGAGGTGCTCTTTGCAAGACCTTGATCTGCTCGAAGGTGAATGCTGCTCACTCACACCCCAACCTGCTCAGGGCGAGGGGGGCACCTGCAGACCCTCCAAGCCAGCCCACACCTGTCACTCAGGGCATCCAGCAGGACCCCGTAGGCTGCGCTCTCAGCAACACTGTGTTCGTGCTGAGCACACGTCTGCACTGATCCCACGGGCGTTGGACCGAAAGCAACATCCCTCCCTAATGCTGTGTTTCTATTTTGCTGTGCTGTCTGGGATGTGGCCGCATGGTGGCCTGGTATCACAAGAACATTCCAGCCAGACACAGCCTGTGATCCCATCCAGACTGGGATCATTCCATTTGCCAGAAAAATCATAGTTATTGAGCCCGGGAATGAATGTACCCAGGGGTCAAGTGAGAGACTAGGGACAGGAAGACAAGCCCGGTCCAGGTCGGAGCGCACACACTGCAGACGTGGCTGTGCCAGGTGCGTGTTCTGAACCAGGTGTGTGTCCTGACCGGGGACGCGCTTCCCTGGCTTGCAGGTCCCAGTGACCAGGACAGCATTCTCATTTATTTTTTGTTATATTCTAAGGGGACGCTGGCTGGCATCGCTGCGTGAGAAAGACGAGGTTCACACCCACCCCACTCATGTCAGAGCACCAGCTCCCTTTACCCCTCACCGAGTCCTCCCCACCAGCATTCTGAAGCTCATCAGTGGCCCCTCCCCTGTGGCCCCAGGGGCCGCCTCCGGTACCTGCTTCACTTCGGCCTGCAGGTGGCGCAGCTGCACACACTGCTCCAGGTGCTTCCGATGCTGCTCCCCGGTCAAGTCCAGCTCCTGCTGTTTCTCGTGGAGAAATTCCAGCAAGTCCTGGACCCGAGTGGCCATGTCGACGTCCCTGTCACAGAGCAGCTCCACACCTGCGGACGTTGACGGAGACTCTGGGATTCAACTGGCATGCCAACCTTGCGCTCCTAAGAGGAGCCTGCTTTCGCTCTGCCTGTGCGAACCCCTGCCCGGCCGGGGCCAAGCCCGAGGGTGCGGCCAGCAGAGCAGTATCCACAACAGCCCTTGAGCGCGGGGGACCAGAGAATGTCAGTTGGGCTCAGAAGCCAAATATAACGCACTGCTAGTCACAGACAACATCCCCGTCACTCCACCCACAATGATGAAACTGCTGCATCCTTTACAAGGAATGAACTTCAGTCTGCCGTGCTGTCATCCTCCGTACCCCCAGCTTATGCCCTAGGAGGCCTTTCACTTGCGTGAAATGAGTAATCTGTGTGCAGGTGGTTGCTAAGTGCGTCTCTAACACGGCAGGGTTCTCACGCCCTCCGTGGGCCCACAGCGACATCTGCTGGCCAAACACACTAAGACGGCGCGGGCAGGCACATTACAATACCAAACGTGCTCACGTTACGTGACCAGGTAAGGGGAAATAGACAGCAAAACGTCTCCTTAGGAAGAGCGGCTTCTCTCGACCTGTGCCCCAGGGCTGGTGAGCTCTGTGGCGAGCTCTGTGGCGCGCACCCCACCCTGGGGGTCGGGCAGAGCCCACCGAGCGCAGGCGCGTCTTACCGGAGGCCTGCACCTCGTTGACATATTGCAGCAGGTCTTGCCCTTGGTGGATGACGTCGAAGGTCAGGTTGTTCATGGTCAGGGCCTTGTCCGCGTGGTGCTGCAGGCGCTGCTCAGCGATGGTGAGATCCTCCGTGTCAAAGTCGTTCATCTGCTGAGAGAGCTCGTCGTTCCAGGACTCCAGGTCCGAGATGATCTGGCGGGAGAGCGTCTGCTTGGGACCAGGCTCGCTGCCTCAGTGTCCTCCAGACATGTCACCGAGCCCGGTAAGGAAGAGGCGAGCAGGACGCTGCCCCCAGAGGGGCCTCTGCTGGCCCAAGTCGGGACCCCCAGACATTAAAAAGCTGAAGTGGCCACAGCTGAGTAAGATATATTGAAAATAGAAACATCCACTAATCCAGAAATGAAGTGAAAAACTCTGGTTCCTATTCAAAATCAACAAGGAGCTAATCTTTATTCTAAACATTGTCAAATAAAGGAGAAAATTATCTAAGCGTACAATGAGGGTGGAAAGTTCTTCCTTGTAGATAAATCTAACAATGTTCAAACAATAGGAAAATTAGAAATTATTTCTGATGCTCCATGAAACTGCAGGCCACAGCCACCCGTGCCTGATCTGTCGTCCTGAGAATGTTCCGGACACTCACTGTGGGGAGGACCATGCTCCACCACCGGACACAGACCAACTTGCGCCCCTGAAACCGCGGGCGGCCAAAACGTGCCTGCACAAAAATGGGACCTGAGCCTGGCCAGGTCCTCACTGCCCGCTTCTAAGGTTATAGGAAGCTCCAGGGGAAGGAAAAGAGCAAGGCGGCCAGAGGGAGTCAGTGAGCAGAGCAGACGGGGGCCTGGCTTCTTTGGCGATGGACACGGTCATCTCAACAAATCATGGCCGGAAGGAGAAGGGCGGACGAGAGACTTCTAGGTTAAAGACTGGGACTGGCTGTCCTGCGAGTGTAGACCCCAAGTGCGTCTGGACGGGGCTGGACAGAACTGGGTGGGAGGAGGGAGTCAGGAAGGGCTGTTGAGCTGGGAGGTGAACATTCTCATATTTTAAAGAGTCTCTAGGGGTCTCCCTGGTGGCACAAGGGGTTAAGCTCTGCACTATGAAGCAATCTGTGGCCTCTGCAGCACGAGTTTGATCCCCAGCCAGGGAGCAACGCACTTGGCACAGCAGATCTCTCCTGTCTCCCAGCTGCTCCCCTCAGCAGTGTATTTCAGTCAGTCTGCCTCTTCTGTTCCCCACTCTGTCTCTGGTGAATCCTCTCACCCTCTGCATCTCTGGCCTCTACCCCAGCTCTTGTGTGCATAAATAAATCTTTTCTTAAAAAAAAAAAAGTCTCAGGAGCATCTTTAGGGGTGAAGGACAGGCTGACAAGGATGTTCTCTAAAATACTACAACACAACAATCACCCAAGAAGGGGCGGCTGGAGCAAAGGGAAACAAACCCTTGCTGAATGTGGGGTCAGGAGCATGAGCATTCATTGGGCAGCTGGTGCCACTGCCACACAGGCTTGAAAACCTGCATAATAAATGTCTTAAAAATGAAGACTAAAAATTATAAAACCTAGGAAGGAGGGAAGACCACCTTGTGAAAGGGTCTGACAGCAAACCCTCAGTGGAGTGACATTTCCTCTGGCTCCTGATGGGCCCTGACCGTGTCCCCGGGAGCAATGACCAAATCCATAGGAAAACTGAGAAAGTGACTGTTCACAGAACCCAGAGAGGGGGTGGGAGTTAGCACAAAATGGCAGGTCCCCCAAATGCCAGCTGGACAAGCCTTCCCGGCTGCTTCTAATACTGTGCTCTGCGTGCAACGTGTTCTATCATTTATTAAATGATGCTCGTTTAGAAGTAATAGATTTGGTAAGTGCCAAGTCAGACCTAAACCAAAAGTTACTGGGAAGAAACATTTTCAAAAAGGAACAAAAATTGGGCCTCCCCGGTGGCGCAGCGGTAGAGCGCTGGGTTGCGAACCTGCCCGCGGCCTCTGCGGCGCCGGTTCAATCCCCGGCTGCTCCCCGGCCACCAGAGGAGGGTCCCACATGGCGCGCAGACCTCTCCTGTCGCCCGCTGCTCCCCTCAGCAGTGTACTTCGGTCCTTCTGCCTGCTCTGCTCCCCGCTCTGGCTCTGGTGAATTCTCTCACCCTCCCGCGCTTCTGACTGTACCCAGTGCATGTATAAACAAAACAAACAAACAAGCAAACAAATAAATAAAGAAAAACATGCCTCTATTAAAAAAAAAAAAAAAAAAAAAAAAAAGGAACAAAAATTTACCAGAACTTTAATTTTTAATTTTAACTTTAAACTTTAATTTTCTATGGGGAAGTTTCCTCCCTAATCTTTGGTCTGTTCGTTCTCTGACACTGAGGGAGAAAAGATTTTATTTAGGTGTGGGTGAGAAGGAGACTGGGTCCATCAGGCTCCCAACCCCAAAGGGACGGATAACAGGGCGCTGAGCCCACACGCAGCATCTGAGCCGCTCGCTGCGCAGAAGGGAGCCTGGCCCTGGCCGCGACCCAGGAGCAGCAGGAAAGGTCCTGCCCAGGCTGGCATGCCAGCCTGGTAACCACACAAGCGAAAACAAGAAATCTGGGGCAGAAACAAAGCTCAAGAAGTGGAAGTCACTTGTGAATATTGACTCTGGAAAGATCACTTTGAAACCATTTCTTTTTCAAATGTGCTCAGGACTTTTTAAAGTCCAGTGTTCCCTTCCTAATGTCCGTATTATTGAGACTGTTCTGCACAAGGGAACGGGCACAGGACATGGACCCATGATGCTGCTGTTCTTTTTAGACTAACAGAGCAGGTTCCAGTTGGACTATCTGGAGGCGGGAATGGTGAGATGCCACCTCACGAGGGACCCCTGCCAAGCCACAAACGGTGGGGGGGGGGGGGCACAGCAGCTGGTGGGGCCTGCACCCCTGGCCCGGGGCACCAGTCCATGCCTCCTGGTGGGCCCATCCGCTGAGGCCGGCTGTCCTGAGTCGGGGCCACAGGCAGGCTTGGCTCAGAGCACCTGAGCACGCTTCACCAGGCAGCAGGTACAGACCTGACTCCTTACTTGTTACTAACCAGCAAGGAGGAGGAGAATAGCCACGAAGGTCTTTTCTGAAGCACTGATGGAGGTTCAGGCAAGTGGTCAAAGGCCCTGAGAGGCCCCTACCCCCACAGCCCATGGCCACAGGGCTTCAGCCTGCGCACCAGCCCTCAGGAGAGGCGCCCGACCCTGGCCTGTCCCACCCACAGAGCTGGGCTAGGGCCCTGCATCCATGTGGGAGGCCCGCGGGCCCCAGGAGGCCGAGCTCCCGGCTGAGGGGTGCTGGCTCCCGAGTCACGTTTCACAGACGCAGTCGGCTCCGCCCATTACCCTGGCTTCTGCCTGCACTTCATCAGGCTCAAAAAAGGAAAACTTTCCTGTTTAGGAACCAACCCTTTTTGTTGAAGGAAAATAAAAAGAAATCTTTGTCCTATTCACATATGCACTTGTACAAAAGTCAATTTTTAGGTAAGAATTACAGCTCATCTGAGAACATTTCTGTGGGGGAAATGAAACTGGGTTTTCTAGCGCCTAAAATGGTATAACCACGGCGCAAGCTTATTCTCATTGTTGGAGGGAGAACAGGGGACAGGGGTGAGGGAGAGACAGAGAGGAGAGGGGCGGAGGAGCGGGCTCGGGGAGGGGTCAGGGAGAGGGAGGAGGGAGCACCAATGCCTTGAGCCTGGGCTTCAAGATGGGGAACCTGCACGGAGGGTCTGGGCCTCAGCGGCTCGGCCTGGCCCCACTCTCCTGCCAGTGCCTTATCACCTCCGCCTCCGAGGAGAGCCAGACCCAGGGACGAGCTGGGGAGACCCCGGGCGCCGGGCGCAGGGAGGACGCAGGCAGCGCTGGGGCGGCACTCACATCGATGGCGTCCCTCTCGAAGATGCGCAGCTGCAGGAAGAGATCCAGCTTGATCTTGCGCTCCTGGAAGAGCTCCTCCATCTGCGCCTGCGCCTCGTCCAGCTGCTGCAGCACTGTCTCGATGTGGCTGATGGAGCTGTTGTGTGGGGTCTTGTTGCTGGAGATGGCCGAGTCCCTGCAGACGCAGCTGGGGGTCAGCACACCCGCCCCACCCGACACCCGCTTCCTCCGGGTCAGCTCCCGAGCCGAGGCCGGGCAGGAGGTCAGGTCATGTCCCTGCCTGTGACGAGGAGTCTGGTCACTACAGAAACCACCTCACTGGCATCGATTTTGGCCACTTTTCTGCTCACACGGAACAGTTACGCCCATTTAGCACCAACAGCAGTCACAGTGGAACCGCGATCAGCCAGATTTTAATTAAGCCATTTCTGGGGAACCTCCGCTTGCAGCAGCAACCTCCAAGGGGGTCCTCAGGACCAAGGGGATGCGCTGTCCGGAGTGGCACCTCGGGGGGAGCCTACATACAGAAACGTCCTGGTGCCCCAAAGAAAGAAACTGCCCCCAGTACCCTGGCCCTGGTGGCCTCCAGCCTCCCCAACATGGAGGCAGAACCCCCAGGCCTGGCCTGACCCGGCCTGGACTCTGATGAGGGGAAGGATGTCCCCCACGCGGGCCAGAGACCCCATTTGGGGAGGCCTCACTGAACCTGGCTCATGATGTGTCGGGGCTACTAAGAGGGCACAGAGTGGAAGCCGAACCCCGGGAGGGCTGACGAGGCAAAGCTGGAATGGGGGCTCCGAGAGCCTACAGGAAAGTGCGAGGAAGGAAAAAGGAGCGCGGGAAGCAGTCACCGTCCTCGGCGTGGAGGTGTCATCTGTGCTCACCCACGGGTGGGGAAGGTGGCTGATGCTCAAGAACGAAGCAGGGTGGGAGATAAGGGGGTGCTGGGGGACCCACCTCAGCTGCTGGATGAGGTCCTCGCCCTCCTTGATCACGTTCACGGTCACCTGCAGGGTGGTCTGCTGCTGCTGGCCGAAGCGCTTGATGAGGTCCTGCACGGCCTCCACCGACTCGGCGTACACGTCGTCCAGCAGCTCCTTCTGCAGCTCCTCCAGCCACGTCCAGAGCTGGGGGGAGAGCACAGTGAGTGCCCCGCCAGGCCTGGCACGCCCTGAAAGGGAAGGGGCCGGCGCCGGGGAGCACACAGGCAGGCAGGGCGGCAGGGGACCGTCACAGGACAAAGGAGGGAAGGGGAGCCGCCCCCCCACCCCCAGTCTTCCCGGCTCAGTCCAAGTGCAGCAGAACCAAGAAAAGGCCCAGTGGACTGCCGGACACCTGCCAAGGGTTGCTGGCCACGGTCACGAGCTCCGCTGCTGCTCAGCCAGTGGGAGCTGTGCTTTATTTTTTGCAAGGGTGTCACAACTATTGGGCCACTGCTCAGATGTGGGGGCTCCACACCCCTCAGGACAGAAGGAAGCATGTCAATTCACCAGCATGCCCAGAAGATAACTGACCCCGGGCCCAGATCCCTGACGCCCAGGGTGTGTACCCCGAAAATACGTCCACAACTTGAGAAACGTCACCTCAGGCTGGGGCAGTACAGACAAGATAGAACAGGAGCAATGGAGCTGCTTCAGGTCTGGGGGGCAGGGGGATGAGGCTGGCGCTGCAGAGCTCTCTCTGCCCCGTGCCCGAAGCCCACCCGCTCCACAGCTGACAAGACAGCTCTCGATGCGGAGCAGGTCCTGGCCTGGAAGCGGTGGGGGTGTGCTGGGGAGGGAAACCTCCCCCCTGCACCTGACCACGTCCACAGCAGCGGGGAGGAGGGGCGCCCAGGGTGGGGCCCAGCAGGGCCCGGCACTGCCCGGCCAGCAGGCCTTCACAGCCAACTCGGCAGCGCCACCTTCACAATAAACCGTGTTTGTAGGGGCTCTTCCCTCGCAGCCAAGCTCTTGCGAGATGCACTGACATGGCCCCCATGTGCAGATTTCAAGTGTACAACCGGCTACACTGTGACATGTTTCCACCCATGAAAAGATCCTGCTATCAAAACAGCAGAAGGCTCTACCGCCCCGACATCCAAGGCCGTCCCCCTCTGTCCCTCCCCACACAGCAAAGCGCACTTTCAGCCACCAGAGACACCTGCACATTGTCTAAAAACGGGGTAGGGCCTCCCTGGTGGCGCAAGAGGTTAAGCACAGCACAGTGAAGCTATCGGCAGCCTCTGCAGCACGAGTTCAATCCCCAGCGGGCCACGGAGATACCCACATGGCGCAGCAGACCTCTCCTGACTCGCCTGCTGCTCCCCTCAGCAGTGTGTTTCAGTTAATCTGCCTGTTCTGTTCCCCACTCTGTTTCTGGTGAATCCTCTCACCCCCACATCTCTGACCTGTACCCCAGCTCTGGTATGCATAAGTCAATAAATCTTTTAAAAAAACTGGGGGGGGGGAAATTACGTAGATTTATATACGATTTTATATAAAAATCTTCATTTTGGGGATCTGGCTTCTTCAGCAGTTATTTGGGGTCTCGCACACTGTCCGGTTTTTATCATGTGCATCAGAGTGTGTATAAGAGTTTTTAGCGAGTGTCACCCCTTCACTGGATGCTGGGACTCCTGGGCGCTGGCACACTGCACCATTAGACACAGCTACGGGGTTGTCTGTGCTGTGGAGCTGGACGGGGCACGGCTGGGCAGGCAGAGTCGCCGGCACCGCTTCCCTGTCCCCGCGGTGGGGAGGTGGGCCTGTCCGCCATGTCCTGCCGCTCTGGATGTAGCCGGGCTCTCCATTTCAGGCCCTGGGAGTGAGAGCATCTTGCTGTGGCTGTAATTAGAGACCCCTGTGACCAACGTCTGCACAATCCAAGCTCACCTGCCAAGACTTCTTTAGTTGTTCTTGTCAGAACAAGTATTTTGAATGAACAGGCCAATTTAAAAATTAGGGAGGGTGGGCAAAGGAGGTATTTTTCAGTCAAGGTGTGTGGGATCCTGGGGGTTCATTCAGTTGAACAGGTTACAGGAGAGGTTACTTGTCTCAGCTCACTCAGCCACACCTATGTCAGAAGGGGCTGTAGGGGCTGGCTCACCTCTCTGATGCTGCTGACCAGGTCCCAGGGCCCCGAGATGAAGCATCCTGCACCCACAGGCGGGCAAGCCCCCCGGCACCTAGCTCGGGACGCAGCCCACCGTGTCCTCTGTGGATGTCCCTGCGGGCAAGGCCCATTATCAATGTGCCGAATATGGCCCCGGGCCTGCCCATCCAGGAGGGTCCATCATGGATAAGATGCTCTTGGGCTTTGGTTTGGTTTTTTTTTTCTCTAACTTTCATGAACGAGGGAGCTGCTTCTGCAGACAATGGAAGGATGAGAGCTCCCAGGAAACGCTGCGCCTGGGTGGCTGCGTCATGGCGGGGCGTGCACAGGCCGAGGCCACCTCAGCTCTAAGCAGCCTTCCTGCCCGCGGCCTCTGGGGCTGCAGGGGTGCGGCAGCAGCACTCCTCAGGTGTCCCACACCCCTCGTGGCCCCTTCTGTGGCGTGACGCCGAGGCAGCGCAGGGCAAAGCGCCCGGGGCCCTCAGCAGAGTAAAGGAGGGGTGTGTTACACTCTTGCTTTGTTTCAATACAGATGATATTTTTACGGAAAGAAAACAAAAGCCTAGGGCTATATTTTTGGATCTTCCCACCTCTGGGGATAAAACACTTTTTCTTTTTTTTTTTAAACACCAGGTGCCGGGCCTCCCCAGGTGGCACAGGTAGCTGAGCAACACGCTGTGAAGCTGTCCGCAGCCTCTGCAGCGCCAGCTCGATCCTGGCTGGTGGGCGAGGGTCCCACATGGCAAGGCAGACCTCGCCTGTGTCCCCCGCTGCTCCCCTCAGCAGTGTATTTCATCAGTCTGCCTGTTCTGTTCCCCACTCTGTCTCTGGTGGATCCTCTCACCTTCCCGTGCATCTGGCCTGCACCCTGGTTCTTGTATGCATAAATAAATAAATCTTAAAAAAAAAAACAAAAACTCAGGTCTTACGCATCTTCGTATTAAAACATTTTTAAAAGATTAAAAAATAATAAAAATAAAATAAACACCAGGAGCCAGTGGCTGGTGGCCACGCAGTGGCTCATGTGTTCTGCTATCAGCTAAGTCCAGTGACGAGTGCACAGAGTTCAGCTAAGGAACTAGCGCTAAAATACTGTGGAAATCAGCTCGCAAACAGTGACCCTCACCTCCTCAAATATTACGCCCTGGATCTCAAGTTCTCCGCTGTCAAACTGAATCAAAGCGATCCTGGACCTCCATGACGCTGGAAGTGAGAGACCCCTCACCGTGTTAGCATGCAAGTGTGAAGTGGCAGGGAAACAGGAAGGTTTCCTTCAGCACATGCGTCACCAAGCCGTGACAGGCATTCGTGCCAGGGAAACGGAAATGTGACTTCACGCCCACACCTGTGCATAAACGTCCACAGCTCTCCCGGGTGCGACAGCCCCAAACAGAACAGGGCCCCAAGGTCCGGGCTCAGGTGAGTGGTCAGACTCGATGTTTCACACCACGAGATACGAGTCAGCAATAAAGAAGAAAAAGCCCCTCCCTACCCCACCCCATCGCCATCCCCCCCCACACACACACACAACCACACACCCAGGTCTCAAGGGAATTAGTTAAAAGAAAAAAAAAAAAAAAGGCCAGTCTCAGAAAGTTACCTGTTACATGGTTCTATGCCAGTAACATTTCTTGAATAACAGTATTAGTATTTGCCAGGCGTGAGAGAGGGTGTAGGGCTGGGGGCGGGTATAGGGAGGCAGCAGCCCTCCAAGATGGGCTGTGATGGGCGATTCTGTATGCTCAAAGTGGTTATATAAGTGTGCACAGAAAAAAACACACAGAACACCCCCCCACACACACTCTCTTGTTCATGGAGACCTGGGGCAACTGGAGTAAGCAACGGGGGGTTACACAAGTTGCCACATCTAGGGGAGGCTGGGTGAAGCATCACAACCTTGTCTGTTTTTGTTCAACTTCCTGGGAATTTATAATCATCTCAAAATAATAAATTAAAAACACAAAGCTGGGGGCTATGTTCACAGGTGTGTATGTGGGTGGAGAAAGGAAACAAGCAAATTATCTTAGAGACCTTAGTAGATGCGTCATCAGCAAAAACACTGCTAAGGGGGCCTCCCTGGTGGCCTAAGGGTTGAGTCTCAGCGCTACCACCACTGTGGCCTGAGTTCAATCCCCGGCCAGGGAGCTGACCTCTCCTGTCTCGTCCCACTGCTGCCCTCAGCAGTGTATCTCAGTAGATCCACCTGTTGTGCTCCCCACTCTGTCTCTGGTGAATCCTCTCCCACACCTCTGGCCTGTACCCCAGTTCTTCTACAAAATAAATATTAAAACAACAACACTGCTCAGGAGGCCAAAATAAAAGGCTTGAAAGTTGGGAAGCAAACTGTAGAGAGCTCTGCCGAGAAGACGCAGGGTCCGGAGGAGTCGGATGTTCAGGTGGGGCTCATGGAGAAGTGCCGTGCACTGTCCCCTGCACAGCCACGTCCTCTCTGGGCAGCTGGGCATCTGGACAGGTTCTGCCTATAAGGCCCCATCAGGGCAGCCACTCTGCTCAGAGGCCAAGACCTCTCAGTCCAGAATCAGCTCATCCAGATGCCTCAAGGGTTCCCCAGCTCCTGGAGAGAGATGGGAGGCCTGGCTCTGCCGGCAGAGGCTGCTGCAGAGAGCAGTGAGGGCGACGATCCTGCTGGAGAGACTCAGGAGCCCTGGACAGGCAGCTGGCCCGGCGCTCCTGCTTCCTAGTAACTGACCCTCCTCTGGCCACAGCCCAGCCCACCAGGATCCCCCTCCATCCCGGCGGGGTGGGCGCTGGCCCTAGCATAAAGCAGAAAGGCTGCTGCTTAGTGGTTAAGCATGACAGTGAGGCCAGAATGGGATGTAGTGACCAAAAAACCTCCAGGTGGGTGGGAGGTCTTTATTTCTGACTTCTGAATAAGATGAAAGGTTCCTCTTTTACCAGGCAGCACCCCAAACAAAAACCTGCCCCAGTTCAATGCCTAGAGGCCTCTTCACCAGCCCAGCAGGTGGACGGACGGATTCCACGCCAGTGGCCTTGCCTGGGAAACAGCAGCTCCCGGGATCCAGCGGGAGAAGCAACATGAGGCCACCGAGTCAATTCCAGACAAGTCTGGCCAAGGTCACCACCTGGTCTCCTCAAGTAACCCGCCCATTTCAAAGGTAATTATCCATTAACTCGGGACCTAATTTTGAGCATGAACTTCAATGAGTACAAATGGGTGAAAATAATTATGTTCTCGCTCCCACTGAAACTGGAAATAGGTCCATCTAGTGTTAAAATGCAGAGTGATGACTAGAAACTGTTTATTCCACAAACTGACTCAGCATCTGCTCAGTCTGGGAGGCAGGACACCTCGTGGGACATGGAGATAAGGAGACGGAGTCCGGAGCCTTCAGTGACTTCAGGGAACTCGGCATCTATCCAGAGGAAAAAAGGTCGAAATAGGCAAACTACACAAAAGTGGTTCTGTGTGGTTCTCCACTGGCATTCCCTTTTGCATCGCCACCGCCCTGCACACTGTAGCTGGCTTGGGAGATACCCTGGAATGAATGAGCGAAGGAGTGAATGAATGAATGGATGGATGGACAGGGGGGAAATGCCTGCAAAAGGAGAGGACAGGGAACAAGAACTGTTAGAGGAGAACTAATCAGAACTGATGAGAGGAAAATGCTATTCCAATGACAGTGAAAGGCACAGAGGGTGAGAGGTGGAAGATAAAATGCACAAGGAAACAAATTCTCCCAAAATAAAACCCCAACTTTTGTTAGACAATCAACATTCCTTCTCAATAATTTAAATATCTGGGAGCCCCTTTTTACTTGCCAGATGGGATGCTGCTTGATTCATGTATCCCTGACTAATGTCAATTAGACGCTCAAAAATTAAACAGCAAATAAACACATTAAAAAATAACAGTGTCAAATTTTCAAGTCTTCTGAGAAGAGGTTAAGCATCTTATGAATTCTTTTGAGAAAAAAAAAAAAAAACGAACAGATGGCTCCAAATCTGGGCTCCAGGGTGACATGGAGGCCGACGCCTCTATCACTAGCTTCTGCAGCCGAGTGCCAGGTGCACAGGGTATGCCGCAGGAGACTGCGCGCCCGCTTTTCTCTCTTGCCAGGAATGGGTGCCGCACATCTCCACCCCCGAGGTGAGGGTAAGAGCCGAGAGCTCTTGTTTCCTGAGTCTAAGCGGGCTTCCCACCCGCCCTTCCTGCAGAAGTGCCCTGGGCTAACACCGAGCAGACGTCACCTCGACCTGGCACCTTTCTGAACTTAGTTGTGAATGAGATCACCTTTGCTTTACTTGCTCAGCAGAGACAGAAATTTACCGCACACACAAGAGAGGGCAAGAGCTCTGCTCCAGATGAAAGTGAGGAATTAAACCACTGCCGAACACTTGGGAGCGAGGAGGGTTAACTTCCCGGGGGCAAGAGGCTTTAATGGTTCACTTCTAAAAAGCTGCATGGAGTTGCCCCAGCAAAAGACACGGTGCTTTTGCTGTCTTCCCCTACGCAGCTTTCAACTGTGTGATCTGCTTGAAAAAAGGAATTAATTCAGATAACATAAATCTTGGAGCAATTTTTCACTCATCTGCTATATTAAAATATTTAGTGACTTTATGCAAACACATTTAATTAGCATGATTTCCTCCTCTTGGCCCTTCTTTCACTTTTAATTTGGCTTTAAACTAATTAAATTTGTTCTAAATGAATCTGAGTTTTCAAGCAATAACCAGTTTCAAAACAAGTGGCCGCAGAGCCCACTCCTTCCTGCACGGAACCTACCGAGCATCCCTGTGGGCCTTAGGGTATTAGCGTAGCTCCGAGCACGACGATGGGAAAATTCTGGGGCCAGTCAGGACAAATAAACCTGCTGAGAGTAGGCGGGGACTGAAAAAGAAGCCTGAGAGTGGGGGCCAGTTTCCAGACCCTTCCACACTGGACGTCCAGGTCTCCCCAATGGTCACCAAAGTCTTCCCTGGACCCTGCGTCACTTTATTTTTTTTTAAAGATTTGTTTATTTATGCATACAAGAACTGGGGTACAGGCCGGAGGTACGGGCGAGAGGATTCACCAGAGACAGAGTGGGGAACAGAACAGGCAGACTGACTGAAATACACTGCTGAGGGGAGCAGCGGGCGAGTCAGGAGAGGTCTGCACGCCATGTGGGTAGCTCCCTGGCTGGGGATCAAACTTGTGCTGCAATGGCTCTGGATAGCTTCATAGTGCTGAGACTGAATTAACCCCTTGCACCACCAGGGAGGCTCCCCTATGTCAATTTAGGGAGACACACGGAGGAAAAAGCAAATCAGGGTGAAGACGCCATGGCCGTGTCTTGCACATGAAGAAAAGAACAAATGCCTAAAAATGCTGCAGCTGTCAGGGCGAATCTCCTGACCTCGGTAGTAGACTGAAGGTCCCCCAGTCCACAGGCGCACATGCGGCCCCCGCCCCACACACACCCGAGCCCTACAGTGCAAGTCAATGAGAACAAACGCATCACCCCTTCCAAATCATCCCTGAGCCTCACGACAAGGCAGACTCTACTCACTTTCATGACAAGATTTTTCCTTAAAAATGCCGCTGCTGAGTCTCTGGAGAGGCGCTTTTGCAAAAGGCTGGTCTTCCCGCTTCCCTTTGGTGTCGCTTTACCAAATCAAAGCTGAAATGGTGACCTTAACCATAAATTCAGCTGCATGGAAAGTCTTTTCTGTCCCCAAAGCAATCTTAAATCTTCGCAAATACTGCTGAAGATGATCACCAGGCCTGCGCCCAAATGCCCCCCCTGCAGTCCTGTCTGGACCCCTGCCAGCTCCCGTCCCTCCCGTGGTCCAGCGTCCTGTCCAGCAGCATCTGGCCGGCCAGGGACGCAGCGCCCCCTGGGGCCCAGAGCAGGAACTGCGGCCTCCACCCCTCTTGGCTCCCTGGAAGGCTGGGCTGCGCCAGCCCAAGGTCACGTTACTGAAGGAAGCACAATCTGCCTTTGCACACAAGGCCTCTTCTCCCTCCTGCTAAGGTGCACAAATGCATGCAGTAAAGAGAAGCTACCGTACGAGTACGGATGGAAAAGAGAGAGAAGCACATTTCCAAACAAGGACAGTGCTACAACAGGTGTGTGTGAACAAAATTCTAGAAAGTAAACAAGGAGGAAACAGCCAAGGCTGCCCAGGGAACACCCAAGTCCCAGGCGTCACTGTGCTGGGCGGGAGGACAAGGTGGACCAGATCACAAGGATGCCGAGGGGTGTCAGGCTGGACCCGCAGGCCCAGGGTTCAAAGCAGATTATGACAGAATCTACTTTATATTTCAGAAAAAAAATCCTGGATGTGGGACTTTGTGAGGCAGGGGCAGAGCTGGCGGAGGCAGGGAGATACTTGGTGGCTGCGGCTCGACTCGAGCTGAGTGAGGACTTAGGGACACACGCGACCGCCAGAAGCTGCCGTGGAGAGGTGCCGCTGAGCAGCCTCCTTCCTCTGCAACTCTGGTGCAGTCCTCTTTAGTCGGCGGAAAAGCAGTCGGTCCTGCTGGTTTCTGAAGACACCCCGGGCCTTGGAGCACCAGCCTTTGTGCAGGGGCCGCCCCACGGAGGGCAGCCGGGCGGGCGCAGCCGTGGCAGGAGGGGCTGGAGCACAAGCTCTGGGGTCCCAGCACATCTGCCCACACACTCCTCATGGGTCTCAGTTTTGGGGTGCTGGGGGCATAAATGTGGTTTTCCTGCAGCCAAACTTTCAAGTTCCAAGTGGCAGGATGGCAGCACCGGCGGATAAACGCCTCCCCTCACCCGGGCTCCCAGCCCGTCTCTGGACCCTCTCCTGGCTGGATTCTGTAGCGTCCGGTACTTACTCCCAACGACTCAGAGGCTCCCCATTTTCAACTCCCTAGTTGTGAGGAAGTTTTCCCTTAGACCTAAGGCAGTTACTGACATCCTTACCTCAGCGGTGGTCCTACTGTGAACTAGCTTTTATGAAAAATGTTTTCTTTTTCTCAAGAGTTGCAAAAAAGCCTCTTGAATGTGATTTATTTCTATTTTTTTTATTTATATATGTATTTTTTTACATCGTTGCTCCCCTCATGTATAATCCCCATAGAATTCCCGCCACCAAGTCACCTGTGAACCATCACCAGAGTCTCTTGTGCTCTTCCCACCCCTGTTCTGATCCCTCCCCTGCTGAGTATTCTTAAATGTAATTTTATATGATTTCTACTAAGAATAAGATACATGCAACGCAGAATTGGCCACCAATCTACCTTCTGCAGATCTGAAAACACATCAGCTCCTATCACCAGACAAGTTCCCAGCCAGAGCACGCCCATGACACCAGCAGCATATTATAACGGTCACGTCGGCTTTGGCGCCTCCAAATTCAGTTATCTACAATTCACTTTTGCTCGCACCTGGGAGTGCTCACACGGTTCGGTAAAATCAGCAGGCATGTGACGGGCTAACGCACAGCAAGGAAACCCACAGCCCGCCCTCGCCGTGCAGGCCAGCAGCCCGCGAAACGGGGCGGCGCTGTCTGTCTCCAACCAAAGGGCTCTCCTGCCGCTCTTGTTTTCACTGTTCCCCTCCCAACCACTCTCCTGGCCACCCCCACCCTCGCTGTCCGCCCCGGACAGACACAGGCTGCCGGGACCCCAGCAGAGGCACCCCTGAGCTGGTGTGGCAGGGAGAGCCAGCCTCGGGTCCGGCGCGGCCTGTCCACACGGCCCTGGCAGCTCCCCAGCTGCCGTCAGCTCTGCCCTCCTCCGGTCCGGCTGCGCCCGTCACCCCCACACCCACGACCCTCCCAGGACCTAGAGGGCCCGTGGGCCGGGTGCACTCGGTCTTACCTCCTTCACGTGGGTGTGAAAGGACACCGACATGTCCAGCAGGATCTTCCGTTGCTCGACGCGCCGAACGAAGTCTTGGATCCGGTCTTCGAGCTGATGGGCGGCCTGATAAATCTCTTCGGGGTCACATTCCCCGGTCTGAGCCAGCTGCTCCGCTGCTTCTAGCAGTTTATCTGCGTTGGTGTACGTGTTCTGCGCGAGAGACACCAGAGAGATGGGAGGTGAATAAGAGGCGGCGGGTCGCGCCGGCAACACGGACACGGCAGCCAGGCTCGGGCCGCGGGAACCCTGAGCGCTTCTGCAAGTCACACGGGGGGAAACCGGGCGGCGGGAAAGGGCACCAGGAGGCCCACACATGTCCCCAGCAGCTCTTCCGGCCCTGCCTGGCTCCTTGGACTCGGATGCCCCCTGCCAAGGCTGTGCATCCCCCGGGGGAAGCTGGACATGCTGGAGCAGCTGCAGGCGTGTCCTGACTCAAAAGGGGCTTCGCTCTTCCTCCTGCTTCTGCGCGGGTGGAGAGTTCTAGCCTGGGCCTCTCGGGGTCCTGCCCCTTGGCCGTAGCTCCCCAAGAGAGTGGGGAAAGGCTCCTGGTGACAAATCTATGCCGCAGCCTGGGTCACGTCTCTGTGCACCGGCGATTCTGGGCCTGTGTTTTTGCAACTTGAGAGTTCCCAAGTCTGGAGTCAAACATAACTGAAACGCTCAGAAAACCATTTTAAAGAGGTGCAGGTTTACACAGGTGTCTAGGAGCCTCCAAATATTGCTGATTCTCGAGAAACTGGAGGCTGCCACTGGGTTCCTCAAATAACAGGTAGGCCTGACCCTGATACTGTGAAAGGGAAGTGTCGCGAGGGCGGGTGGGGGCCGAGGGCCGGAGGCTCGGCTGCAGAGCGTGAGCCGGAAAGTCAGCCGGGGGTTCCCCTGGCAAAGGTCCGTCATCCTGCCCTCTTCAACAGCTCAGTCCTAGAGCAGCAGGGACTGTAAGGGGGTGCTGTCCGCATGTGGGGAGGGCATCCCCCGGGAGTCTGGGCCTGATGGGGAACGAGGCTCCCTGCAGAGGGCAGCTTCCCTCTGGAGACCGGGAACACCCGCGATTAATCATCTAAGCGAAGCGCTGGCATGGCGACAAGGAAGGAGGGAGTCGCCACAGGGGAGAGGCAGAAGCCCAAGCTGCCCACGGCGGTGGACTGGCTGGAGATGTCAGGGTGGACGTGGCTTACGTGGAACACCCACAGGCTCACTCGCATCCTTTGTCCCCCGGCAGGCCTGGGCCAGCAGCGGCCCAAAGCTGAGCTCCAGGCGGCCACAGCAACGCCTCTCCTCCAGAGGGAAGTAGGGCGCGAGGAGTGGCCGCCCCACACAGAGCAGTGGATCCATCTCGCTGTGCCCGCGTGAGGACGTGCCCGCACTCCAGGGTGTCAGTGGGGAACCAAGCTATGATGACTCCCGTGCAGGACAGACAGGAAGCCGTACACCTCCCCAGTTCCAAAGGGCTTTGTGACAACAAAACCTTGTTTGTACGATGTGCTCGCTCCATCCGTGCACTCTGACCCCTCCAGGCGCTAGGGGGCGGGCAGACAACCTGCCAAGGAGACGGAGGCCCTGACAACAGCCCCAGGGAGGCCCTGACCGCAGCTTATCACCCCAACGAACAACTGGCCAGAACATCCTCCCATTGGAGGTCTGAGTTCCAACCCCAGTGTGACCTGGTGACCCTGAGCTAGAGGGGACGGTCACCCACCTACACCTAGAGAGGGAGGACGCAACCTTGAGTTCAGAACCAAGGAGTGATGAGGATGCCACTGAGAACACAGGAAGTGACGGGAGCAGGCGCAACTAGGGACGGGAGCAAAGCGTGCACTTCAGCAGCGGGACTCAGTTGCCCAGTGTCAACGTGGGTCCCCTACATGGAGTGAAGATGTCAGGACGCTCCCCACAGGGGAACCAGCCGTGCATTGTGGGAAGTCTGGACCATCTTTTCCATAAATGCAAAACTGCTCTGAAAAATAACGTAAGTTTTGGGCCTCCCCGGTGGCGCAGCGGTTGAGCGCTGGGTTGCGAAGCTGCCCACAGCCTCTGCAGCGCTGGTTCGTTCCCCAGCTGCTCCCCGGCCACCGGAGGAGGGTCCCACATGGCGCGCAGACCTCTCCTGCCGCCCGCCGCTCCCCTCAGCAGTGTACTTCGGTCCTTCTGCCTGCTCTGCCCCCGCTCTGGCTCTGGTGAATTCTCTCACCCTCCTGCGCCTCTGACTGTACCCAGTGCTTGTATAAATAAATAAATAAAAATAAATATATAAATCTTTAAAAAAAAATAACGTAAGTTTTAAGTGTGTGTGCAGGCACATGTGTGGTCTCACAGCACTGGAGTCCGCTCTCATGCAGGTGAGCAGTGAGAACCAGGGCTGCTACAGAGGTTCCCCGCTCCCCGGGCTGCACTGGGAGAGTCCCTTTCCAGGACGATGCCTGTGCCGAGACCCGCGGAGCCTTGCCCCCAGGGTCTCTGAATCCCGGGAGGGGCTCCTGGGTCTTGCTCGGAGTCACCCAGGGCTGGCCCAGCCAGGTGCACCAGGCCTCAGGCTGCAGGTGCGCATTCTGTTAGAGCTAAATCCTGTTTTTCACAGACTGTGACTGCAGCTGGGAAGCCACCTGCCTCTTCACCGCTGCAGTGTCTGCGAAGTGCATCTGCAGGGGACACCCTCCTGCCAGCACCACGAAGTGCATCTGCAGGGGACACCCTCCTGCCAGCACCACGAAGTGCATCTGCAGGGGACACCCTCCTGCCAGCACCACGAAGTGCATCTGCAGGGGACACCCTCCTGCCAGCGCCGCGCTACGCTCAGTCGGCAGGTAAAGGCCTTCACAGCCTCAGCATCCCCGAGGAGCAAGTGTGCTCCTGGACAGTCTGGGGTGCGGGTACTCACACCTTCCATTCAGCGTCCAGCGGAGAGGGGCTGCGGCAGGGACTCGGCCAGGGCCTGTCTGAAGCCAAGGCCAGGCCTTCCCAGGAACAGAACCCACCCGGGTCCCCTGCTGGGGAATGCTGAACGTGTGTGTGAACAAACACACTGAGGAAGCTCATGCTGTGCCCACGACGGGGCTGAGATGTGGGGAAACCGAGGCAGGAGAGGTATTGTGGCCAGTCAGCGGGGCTCAGACTGTCCGAGCGACACGTGCTGAGGCCAAGGTTCCTCTCCCGGGAGGAAGCGGCTGGACCTGAAGTGTGTGGGTCATCAGGGAGGGCCCTCTGAGGCCTCTCGGCTCCAGCACCCAGTCCTGGCCACCATCCCTCATGCATGGGGTGGGGTGACTGGCCCAGCCAGGGGGATTTGGAGACAACACACAGGCCAGGCCGGGATGAGGAAGGCCGACCATTTCCTCTTTTTCTGGGGAAGTAAATTAAACCTACACAGTTGTGGGCCTCCCTAGTGGCACAAGGGGTTAAGACTCAGCACTATGAAGCTAGCCGCAGCCTCTGCAGCACAAGTTCCTCAGCCAGGGAGCTACCCATATGGCGCAGCAGACCTCTCCTGCCTCGCCCGCTGCTCCCCTCAGCAGTGGATTTCAGTAGATCTGCCCATTCTGCTCCCCACTCTGTCTCTGGTGAATCCTCTCAATTCCCGTATCTCTGGCCTGTACCCCAGTCATTGTATGTACAAATAAATAAATCATTTTTTTTAAAAAAACTATACAATTTCTGGGACTCAGGGGACCCCAGAACCTCTGTGGACAAGGCAGACCAGACCAGTCTCCTGCCCACAGGCCTCAGCTGCTGCAGCCCGGGGCTACCTGGCCAGCCAGAGGCCAGACCGGGCTCCCAGTGGAAAAGACAGGAAAGAGGAAAATACAAGCATTTCAAGACCCGAAGGATTGAGGGAAGCTGCCCGGCAGCTCTGGAGGCCAATGGGTACCCTGGTGGCGGGGGTGGCGGCCTGACACGCCCTGAAGAGAGTCACCCCACACCTCTGACTCACACTCGGTGTTGTAAACCACTAACCTCAATTAAAAAATAAAAATAAAGTCCAAAAATACTAATAGAAAACTCTCAAAGCATTTTATTCCTATGGAACTGTAACCAAAAGGAATATTCACCGTCCAAATTAAAGTCCACGGGGTCCTGATTATATTAAAAGGCACATCCATTCCCAGGGGCCACCCTTTCACGCAGGAAGGGAAACACCACAGGCCCTGGCCCACCATCACGAGCAGGAGCGAGAGGCTGGGACCTGAGCTGCCACTTACACGACAGGCTGGGTGTTGGGAGGTAATCTGGGCGGCAGAAGCAGGAAGGCGGCACCAGCACCCACAAGATCAGCCCTCGGGGCGGACGTGCTGCTGAGACAGGGCTCCCAGCAGGGAAGCCTGGGCTCCGCACCCCAGCACCCACCCTGGGCCCCTTCTCTGGGCTTCCTCAGCTGTGGTAGTCACAGCTTTTGAAATTTAAAAAGGAACCAGTACTTGGTGGACCGCTTGGACGGTGAGGGAGAAGCCAGCTGCCGAGAGCCGCCTCCTTTCCAGCCGCCTTTGCGAAACGCCTCACCTGGAAAGCATCGTCCATTTCTTTTTTAAAGCTCCTGCTCGAAAATGGAGTCCTGGCCACGCCTGCCGGGCCCCAAGGCCTCGAGCAGGTTTCAGTCGAGGACACGGATACTTACGACGGCTGCACGGGACAGAGACGGCGGCAGAGACGGCGCGAGTCCTAAAACACTTCCTCCAGACCCGATGCCAGGGCTTCCGGCCACGGCTGCCGCTCCCCGGGGCTCCCGCTGCCCGGCCCGCGCGGCGTCCACCACACGCGCCAACGCGGGGCAGCTTTCAGGTTCCTCCTTCCTAGAACCCTGGCGTCGGTCTACAGGGCAAATCTGTTTAACCCGACTAAGCTGAACCTGACCAGAAGCCTCCCCACTTCCTTCTAAAATGGGTTGTTACTTCATCGTGCCACGTCTACTTTGAAGAAGCCGTGAGAAGTGGATCTTATGGCTAATTCCAGATCCCTAAAAAACAAATCCATTCAGGCTCACTTCACAGAGTGAAGCGAGAAACACACGAATCAACCTCACATTTAACTGTGGAGAGGAAAGGTCTTCTCCCGAAGCCCCCAGATTTGTTCCATCTTTGTGACTACGTTCCGGTACGAGAGCTAACGCTCCTTCTTCAGCACATTTCTCTGCTCCCGCTTTGAAGGTGCCACCGAGACTGGCTGGCCTGGAGAACGGGGTCCACGCCAGGGGCCGTCTGCCACGGCCCCTCTCCGGTAACTGCTCTGACAGAAAGCAGCACACACAGGAGGCACGTCCATAAAAGGGGGAGGGACCTGTTCCTGCCCCACTTACATGCAGCCACTCAGACCAGGGGCTGGGAACTAGGGGTGGAGCTGAGGGCCCAGATGAAGACACCTGACAAGGAGGCAGGTTTGGGGGGACCCCTGGAGAAGAGGGTTGCTTGCCTCTCGGCTTGGGACTTGCTCGGGGACTTGGAGTTGGTACGTGGAGAGCCGTGCAGGGGCACTGAAAGAGAAACCCTCGGGGAGCTGACAATGGCAGCTGTTAAACTTGATTTGTACTTTGATTTTGCTCCTTTTGTCCCAGCTGGGACCCACTTCAGAACCTCCTTTCTATGGTTCCCTGGCAGAAGTGCCCTAGACCTGTGGCAGGATTTCAGGCCTCAAAGGCCCTGCCTGAGGCCAACCCTGTCTGGCTGGGCATCTGCCCACAGCGGGATGCATCACTGGGTGTTTTATTGATAAACTATTATCCTCCCTTCTCGTCCGTCTCTATGCACCTGATTCTATTCAAGATCTTTCATACTAAGAACCTGATTTGTCTCTGTGTGCATGGATGGCTGGACCCCTTCAGATCATGCAAGTTTCGGGGTCCAGATGTAGCCCTCATGGAGCCCACCAAAGGGAGGATGAAGGTAAGTAACCCGGGGAATCTGAGGGCTGGGAGGAGCTGGGAAGCTCTCAGGGAGGGGGCTGACTCTCACCTGCCTTGCAGGGCAGCCACCCGCTGCGAGAGCTCTGCCCTGGCTCTCAGCACAGCCTGGCGCTGTGGCACGGCTCACACAGCCGCCTTTATGCAACAAGGTGGAGGGGCTTCTCCAGGTCTTTCGGCCCCCTCCCCACCTCACTGCACTTGCTCTGTGGCTGTTCCTTCACGACGTGATCCCAGCTTTAGTTCCCTGACAGCCACGCTTTATTCCTGCTTATTTTTGTTCTGTAGATTCTGAGGCGACCTCGTGAGCCGTGCCGGACACACTTCCTCCTGCACCTGGAGACCCGCTGCTCCTGAGCTGTATGTCTATGAACCCAACATGCCTGGTTAGTAGGGCCCGATGGATCTTTTCTCAAATACCTGACACAGGCTGAGGCTTCCTGGGTGTTTCTGCCCCAGGTGTGTCCCCAGAAACAACAGGGAGTGTATCTATTCACTCGGAGAACCTTCGTCAACAGGACAGCGTATTTGGCAGTTGCTATCGTTACTGGTATTTATGGACAAACTACTACATTTTATTTTGTGATTTCTACCAGGATTCTGTTGCTCCTGCTTCTTTTGTTTCCCACAAACCCATTTTTGTGAGGTTTTACTTCTCTGCTTTTCTCTTCCCTTTGCGCCGATGCAGAAATGATGCTCTCCACCCGGGGCTGCCGGAGCTCATCCAAGAGCCCTAACTCCCTCCCGAGTGCTGCAGGAGTCTGAGATGCGCGGGCCCTGCTGCCTGGGAGCCCCCCCCTGCACGAAGGAGCCCCCCCAAACTCCCTCCCCTGGCGTGAAGGAGCCCCCCAAACCTCCCTCCCCTGGTGCGAAGGAGCCCCCCAAACCTTCCTCCCCTGGTGCAGAGGAGCCCCCAAACATCCCTCCCCTGGCACAGAGGAGTACCCCAAACATCCCTCCCCTGGCACAGAGGTGGCCCCCAAATGTCCTCCCAGTGCAGAGGAGCCCCCCAAAAGTCCCTCCCCTGGTGCAGAGTCCCCCCAAATGCCTCCCCCGGTGCAGAGGAGCCCCCAAAATGTCCCTCCCCTGGCACAGAGGAAACCTCAAACATCCCTCCCCTGGCACAGAGGAGCCCCCCAAATGTCCCTCCCCTGGCGCAGAGGAGCCCCCCAACCTCCCTTCCCTGGTGCAGAGGAACCCCCCAAACCTTCCTCCCCTGTTGCAGAGGAGCCCCCCAAACCTCCCTCCCCTGGCGCAGAAGAGCCCCCCAAACCCTCCTCTCACCTGGCCCAGGGCTCCAGGACTTCAGCTCCGTCTGGTTTTTAACCACCCTCTAATTTCGTTGTTTTTTGTTTAAATGGTTAATCCTTTGATTTATCAACAAATTTACAATTCCTGTGCTCGTTACTGATCCCCGTTCTTTCTCCTCAGGTTCCTTTTCATTCTTGCGGTTAAGTAATTCCATGATTGCTGTAATTAGGTCCCAACCAGTATTTGGGGAGCACTTAACCAGGCCGGGCATTGCTGCAGTGCCAGCGAGAGAGTGGGCGAGGGGAATCCCCGTTCTCAGGGAGCGCCGAGCGCGGGTGCTCCTGTGGGTGCTCCCGCTGTCCGCCCTGAGCCGCAGGTACATCCTGGTGTGTGGGCGGCCAACACTCTCCCTCGAGCTCTGTTTCACCCTCACCGTCAAGGGACAGGCCTCCCGGGGCGGGGTCCCCATCCGGCCTCTCTCCCTCCAGCTCCACCCACCGCCCAGGTCTGCGTGCGGACGAGAGCTCGGCGGGCTTTCCCCTCGCTGTGAAGACTTCACCTTCGCTGCTCCTCCGAGACACCATGATGTGTCTCACTTCGGATCTGTCCCACTAGACAACTTCTTTTTAGAATAGCTTCCCTGCCCTCTTCACAGCTTCCATGTGTGAAGACCACATGACTGTGAGCTCCCCTCTCTTCCACAACACAAAAAGTGCCTTTGCCGCACAGTGCTCCCGTCCTCCGGGCCTGGCTGTCCTGCTCTCCCGGGCCCCTGCGGGCCTGTGCTGCAGGGAGGAAGCTGACCTTGCAGGGGTAGAAACCAAGTCACATGGCAGTGGATGCTGCGACCCCGGGCTCTGCGCACCCTGCACTCCCCAGCTCACCCCAGCTCAGGCCAGTTCACCCCAGCTGGTGTGAAAACGGAGTCAAACTAGTCACAGAGGGGCTTTGGGGGAAAACCATGACAGCCACCGTCCTACCTGCGCGACTTCTTCGAAATCTTCATGGCGCTTCTGCAAAGCTCTGGCCCGATGAAGAGACTTCCCCACGCCCGTGTGCTTGCTCAGGAACGCCTCTCCGTGGTTCTCGATCCAGTCCAGCACCTGCAACAAAACACAGGCACATGAGCCCTAAGAACCGCGTGTTCGGTTTAGGACGATCCACAGAACATACATGCCGGTGTCCACACTGCAAGAAACAAGCAGCAAAGGAGAGAGTGACTGCAAGCCGCCGCCTGCCGAACACCACGCTCGAGGGCGGCCTCTTCCGCCAGCTCTCCCACCGCGATCCTAATCAGCACGGCCCTCGACGGAGCGCGGCTGCCTGAGTGAGCGCTACGTGCAGTGGCGATGAGATTAAATCTCACCTCTGTGATGCGCTGTGGCGACCCCCACGAGGCCTGGGTTTGCAGAAGATAAGTTTTCAGGCCATCAATTTAACAGAACATCTTTGCACGGCTCAAAGCATCACAACTCAAGTTTAAGGATGAAGTTGATTTTTCTTCTTCTTTTGCAGACTCGGAACACAGAGTAAAATCTAAGAAAACACTTCAATGCCTCTGTCTGGTCTTTAAGGATAACTTCTTTTTTAAAAGGCATATATGCTGAGATCACTTTTGTGCCTTTGATTCCCAGGAGGGAGAGATGGGGGAGGAGAAAGAAAAACTTCCCTGCAACACATTCTTCTTATTTGAAACTTTTTCCTCAACCCTGGCGATACTTCAGATGGCCTGTAGTGTTTTAAGAACACACCAGTCCAAGCTCACCCCAGAAACGCGGGTTTAATTGGTGTGGAGTGGGACTCAGGCGGTGTGTTATTTTAAGTCCCCAGATGATTCTAATGCACCCAGGGATGAGAACGGGATCAGCTCTTAGGCTCGGCTTCCCCTCTTCTTGGTGTGGTCTCACGTGACAAGGCCTGAATCTGGGCGGCTTGGGTACAAGTCTGTGATGGGTACAGATCACGGAAAGGCCATCCTGATCTAGGCAGAACTGTAGATGACACAGTTCCATTCAATTTCTGCTCCTAAGTGGCATATTCCCGACCCCTGCAATGTCTTGGTCTCTGCAGCCATCCTAATGGGGAGCTACCGGGCAGGAAGATGGTTTTTAGACAGCAGGGCCTCTGGGGAGACTCGCTTTACAAAGCGGCTGTGAAAGCTAGCCGTTCCGTGAACGGGAATGCAGAGAAGGAAAGGGTAGATACAGAGCAGCCCGATGCACTAGGGTCCGGCTGGGACTGAGCATTTCACTGGCTCCTCCTCGAGCTCTGTCCTATCCCCCGTCATTCCAGGTGTCCTGAACAGACAGGCCGAGCTGTGTGCTGGTGGGCCAACCCTTAGCCTCTCTGAGTTGCAGCCCTGTTGCCTGCGCAGCTGGTGTGAAAACAACAGGGAGTGAGAGGACTCAGCATCCCCGGGCTGAGCACCTGAAACCCAGCACAAGTGTACACGGCACCGGCAGCCCCCACCCCAAACCCCGAGCCCCCGGGCATGTGAGCAATCTGCCGGCCCAGACTACATGTGCTCTACCGCCCTTTAACACGTGCACTCGGGACATGACTCTCCGGAGGTCAAAGCGCGCGAGAGTAAGGGCAGCCTGATACGGCAATAGTGGGTGTGCTGCGTCTGTGTCTGACCTCAGGCAGACATGCATCTGCAGAGCTCTGACCAGGGCATAAAACACTCTTGAAGAAAGTCCAACGACAACTTCAAGATGCCTCGACCTCAAAGGACACAGTTCACAGAATTGGCTCAGCGTGTGAGGCCAAAGGCAGGAGATCAGGATCAGCAACTTTAAGCTTGAAAAGAATTGCGGGACAGGTACGAAAAGCTTCCCACAGTCAACCCATCAGATCTGCGAGAAGAGTTAGGAGGCATTCTTTTTTTTTTTTTTTTTTCCACTGTGACTATATTATATTCTGTATTTTCCTCAACTATAAAGACGAAAATTAAGTCACTGGTAAGCAGCAAACCTGATGATTACTGGTAACTCAATACAGACTTGAAATGAAGACACAGCTTCAAAAAATAAACAGTATTTGGTAGAAATGGCAGGAGGAAGCAAAATACAGTATTTTTAAAATAATAAATATTTGGATTGTTTAAGTGTTGAGAAAAGTGTTTCCAGAAGCACTGGGGGTAAAATGAAGCACCCCTCAGGTGACAGATAGGTTATAATTTTGCTTTTATCACTGTCACCTTGGACAGCCATGTAAACACCAGGTGAAAGTGTGCTTCCCACACACATGACAGTCATGCCAGAAGAATGTGCAAATTCCAAGCGCTTTTTAAAAACAGTAGCAGACAACTGAAATGAAGTTCATATTCAAAACCAGCCCCCCTACCCCCAGCAGGCTTTAGCTTCTTCTCTAAGTCTGAGAACAGGCCCAGATTTTGCCAAGGAATCCTGCAGTGATGGATTTCTCCAAGGGGCATCTTAAGCTATGCTTATAGAAGACCTTTCGATTTAAAGCATAAATTTGTTTGCAATGGGGGGCTTTGTCCATGCAAAGGGGTGGGCTCTGTCCACGCAGTCCATCCACTCGGCTACTCCCGGCCTCAGCCAGCGGCTGGCATCTCTGCTTGTGACTTCAACCCTGGACAACACGGCCGGCATGGGGTGTGCTGCTCTACAAACAGATCGGAGGAAAAGGATGCAAGTCCAGCCTTGTGCACAGGCTCCCTGGGTCCAGGTTTTGTGAGAGCAAGGTGGGTGGGGGGCAGGGTGGGGGACGGCCCACCATCCTTGTTCAGAGGCAGTGGTGTAACAGTTCCTTCCTCTGTAAGACAGGGCCCTCGATGGACACAGTGGGAGTCCTGAGGTCAAGGTGACTCCACAGTGAGCCGCCAGCTCTCCTAAAACAGACACTGTCGGCATCCAAGCCAAAACGCCAGATGTGGGTGACATCCCTGCTGGCATCGCTAATTCCCTGTTTTAATGCCACTACGAGCCTGAGCATCGTGATGGAGGCCAATCCACAGAGCTCCTCCCTCAGCCATTGAGCAACAGCTTCCCGGGCACCTGCTGACCCAGCTGTCGTGCTGGGGCATCACCTCCACTGTGAAGAGGGTGGGGCAGGCACTTGCTGGCATCCCGGGACACTAACCCGGGGCGAACGGGCCTTGGCTACCTCGTGGAAGAGCCAGCGCCAGGGCTCGGCTCCAGGGATCTGGACGCAGGGCTCCCTCTTTACCCCAAGCCTGTGCATCCTCTGCCTGCCGCTGGCACGGGGCAAAATGGAAGCAAAGAGCTGCTTTCGTTTCAGAACCGCTGGGGCTATTGGGTGAATCACCTCTGATGAAGGGACAGGCCGTGGGCAGAGAAATGGGGGCGGGGGAGCCAGCAAACGCTTCCCCAGCCTTGAAACCCCCGAGACTGGCCACGGGCCTTGGGGCCCCTCACACACACTCCCGGCCACCATGTCAGCCTGTGTGCAAGGGACTTCCTAAGCCCCGCCCTCATGTTCACCAGGCTTTGGTGATTGACATTTCGAAGTGAAGAGTATTTCTCAAGGAGTTGTGGATAAACGCTGAGCCCGGTTAAAGAGGAGGCGCGTTGCCCCAAGGCAGCCATTCTCCCCACGACAGCACCATGAAGCCCGGGAAGACACTTATTTCCAACACTGATGTGGATCATGCACCCTGGGATCGCCCGGCTGCTTTTCCGAGCGATTGTTCGGTCTCTGCTGGGGCGGACAGCACAGCCATGAGCCCTTATATTCACAAAAACTGAACAGCCCTCAAGGTCCAGATGTTTTCAGACGTCGGTCCCCAAATCTCATTTGGTGGCCAGATGTGGCCCGAGGCCATTTCAGGTCTTCACTTTTGTTTGTCCAAATGAACTCTTAAAATCTTCTAATAGATCTCAGTTCCTCTTGTAACAATGCTCAACATGGCAAAAAGTTTCCCTGTGTCACTCATTTCTTGAGTTTCTGGCATCCGATGGACTCCCTCGAGGTAAAATGTTTGGTTTGTATAAAGCTACCAACTCTGCTCCTCGCTTCACAGATCAGGCCTATATAGCAATTTCCTGTTTGCAAAACAAGTCAGAACAATTCCTGATCATTTAATAAACAAAGTGTTTTCCTCACAGAATGATTATCTATTTTCTATGGAATGCCAGTAGGGTCGAATATGCCTTGTGTGTGTTGCGGAACATTTTCCCTCCTCACATCCAGCCCAATGTCCTATTCGTGAGGAAAAAAACTCACTAAAGAGCTGGCCTCATAATTATCATAATTACCTTCCTACACGTGAAAATTAATGTTTGCTGTTTTCAAATTCAAGTGCATTAACCGTGTGGTGCCAGTTTTGATCACTGGATTTCTCATTGTATTCCTCACGGCTTCCTTTCCTCCATCCTCACCCCCGCCCCTCACTCAGACATAAACTGCCCAGAGGCTTATTCTTATGTGACTGGGCACCCCAGGAGCCAGGGGAGCAGGGGCCACAGGGGTCTCTGCAGCTGCAGACACAAGTCCAGAGAGTATGTCATCTGTGGGGTCCAGAAATAGCTGATTTGCAGGAAACAGGTGGGTGAATCCTTTAACAATCACATTGACACCGTTGAGCACAGCGAAAACTGCCTCTCTCCCTCCAAGACTTACCCCGCAATGAACCTGCGTTGACTGAAACACCACTGTCAAGAAGCATGAATGACATCAAGATGCATCTACGGTTGCAGCCTTCAACCAACTCAGAGCCCAGAAGGAGAAGCAAAGCTGAGCACCTGAGATAAAGAACTAGGGAACAAGGTCGTGTTCTGAGCTCACCAGATCCACGTGGCATGACAAATGGGGGTCACACAAAGTGGGGGATCCTCAGAATAGGCTTCCCACATAGATCAGCCCAGAAGGCAGGAACCCACTCACCTGTAGGTACCTGGGGAGGTACCTGGGGAGAGTAAGGCCTGGGCTTTCACGTTTCTAAACAAGGTACCAGCTCTTGGGCTTCGGGAGCCCAAGGAGAAGAGTGTTTTGTTCCAGAACTATCCCTGCGGCTCCCAACTCCCCCAGATGCCAGGGGTTCCTTGCACACCGAGAATTATCCTTCCCCAGGGGTGCCGCCTTGTCCACACCCTGCATTCCAGGGCAAGGGTGGGGCTGACGCTGTATGTGCCCCAAGCTCTAGTCGCAAGACCCCGGCACCTGGGCGACCTTCCTTACCCCACGAGAAGGAAACAGAACAGCTTCTGGGTTTACACCAATTTTGTAACAACAGAAGAGAGGTCAACTGTTTAGAAATACAAAGACAGAAAAGCCCACTTTTCACTAATTAGACAACTACATATTAAGCACCTACCATGCTCCACAAACCACACAGTCTGGCAGGTGACACATGGGAAGTCCTAGGGAGTGCACAGGCCTTGAATCATAACACCAGCCAGCAGAACCACTGCCAGTGTAAACCTCACAACGAATACAAGTGAGGATGAGTTGTTTCAAGGTCAAAACTCAGAGTGTCTGGTTTTGGCCCTGAATTGTCCTCGCATAATTCAGAAAGCCAGTGGCTCAGAGCACAAGGGCAGCCTGTATACACGTCTAGTCCCCCAGCTTCACTCCTGACCCCAAAGCAGCTGTGTGTGCGTGTGCGTGTGTGCATGTGTGCACATATGTGTTCACTCTTCTCTCCCACCCATTCTTTTCCCCACTCTGGCTGCAGAGATGCCCATGTGGTGCTGCACTCCTGCCCCTCCCGATTCAGCACCGACCGCCAGGAACAGCAGCCCCAGGGGCAGCCCACCTGCTGGACATCCTGCTGGAAGACGCACAGCTGCAGCCTCTGGTGGAGCCGGACCTTGCGGTGCTGCCAGATGTTCTCCAGCTGCCGCTGGTGGTGCAGCACCTCGTGGATCACGTCCAGGACGTGGTGCACGGCCTTGGAGTAGTTGGCAGAGGCCGTCAGGGAGTCGGAGCTGCCAGGGGTCAAGGGCCGCTGCAGCTTGTCGAGCAGCGACTTCCCGTCCTGGCTCACCTGCCGGCGACACAAAGGAGCGGCTGTGAACGAGTGAGAAAGAGGCGGACACACACCTGGGCACGTGCACATGCAGACACTTGTTGCACACACCCACGCACACAGACACAGATGCACACAGACATGCGTGTGCACATGCAGGCACCAAAGCACATGTGCACGTGCAGAGACGGATGTACACACACGCACCACAGTTTTACTCAAAGGCACATTTTATAAAAAATAAAAGAAATCTAAGACAAATCCACCCACTAGCCAGTGACATCACAAAATTAAACACGAAACGCCAAGGAAGGTTCATTATTCCAGACACTGGGGCAGACGCCATGCTCAGCACTGAACACAGCATCTCAGTCTGCTCCTGAGCGCAAGCAGCTGCCAGGCAACTGCGCTCAGGGACCGCAGCCGGCTGAACCCCACAGCGGTGACTGTGCTGAGCCCGCCCCACAGCGGGACAAAACTCTGACGCTGGCTCCGGAAGCCTCAAGGAAACCGTCACAAGTCCAGAGGCAGACAAAGCACACACACACTTCAACTTCCTGATGGAGCTGGGGAGCAACTTTACTTGACAAAATAGGAAAGTCTTTAATGCCATTTTATTTGGATCTCATTTGAAACTTAAAAAAGTCATGTTGACTACAGTGGCAGCATTTTTCAAGAGCTACCAAACTACCATTCAATGAAAGCATCCAAGGAACCAAAGAATGAAAGCTGAGGGTGGGATGAGCAAAGAAAAGCATCAGGTTATTTTCTGTACTGAAGCGATTCTTAACACTTAGCAAAGGTGACGATGCCAGACGGGGTAGGAAAAACAGGCCCAGACCAGAGCACAAGGAGGACCCGCGGCAGGTGGGGCCCATCTGGGTGCTGCAGGGGGTGCTCGGGCGGGGCCTCTTCCACGGGTCCCTCCGCACAGTAGCTTTTCGCCCCCTCCTTGGGTTTCCATCAAAGGAGGAGCGAGTAGGTCACACAGGTGTGGCCGCAGCACCAAGAGGACGGCGGGGGGTGGGGTGTGCAGGGGTGCTGGGGAGAACTGGCCGACATGGGGGCTTCCGGCCACCCAAACCTGGCAGTCAGTGAAAAACTGTAGGATTTTCTAGTCTCTTTCTTTAAGCTGGGCAGGAATGGAACATGGTTGCTGCCGATGCCTGGCTTTGAGGCCGTGGCCGCACATGCTGACTGCTCCTTCGGAGGGCCGGCTGCCAGGATTCAAGGTTTAAAGTTGACCGAACACGTCAAGAGAACAAAGCCTGAGGGAAAACCAGCTGGGCTGGCAAAACCAAGAGCAGGGTCAGAGAACCCGCCCGCCGCTGGGTGCATGCAGCACAGGGGACAGGCTGTGCCCGTGTCAGCCCACTACTGCAGGAGGTGGCCCAAGAAGCCACGGCACGTGTGTGAACTTTCTCAACACGGTGATTTTTCAGGAGGGGAGGCAGAGTGACTGTTGTGGGGGTGGGGGGGGGATTGATTGCAATGGATTCAGAGAGACAGGATAATCCATGCAGTGAAGAACCGTCCAGAGCTTTGTACTGATCTATTAAATACACCCAGGGAAGCCTGTCTCTCTGTCTGTCTGTCTATGTTAATGAGGACTAATTTTTCCCGGAACAAGACGACCGTGTCAGTCAAAGGGGCAGGGTTTGGTTTGCATTAGAACTTTGCAAGAGTTGCTTGTGGGCTCATAAGATCACCCAGATGGTTACCAGCCCCAGATCTAAGTCTCAGACGTGACGCGGTCCAGCCTCGCCCATCGTGTACAAGCACTAGTTTTATATCTATGGCCAGCGCCTGAACATCTGGCTTTTTTCTCCATTGTTAGAGATGGACTTAGCTATTTATAGTCAGAAATCCATCTTATCTTAAGTCACCTTTCTTTTGCCTCTAATAGATTACTGTAACATGTAATTTACGTCTAAGTGCACAAGGAAGTTTTACGGGACAGCAGGTTAGTAGGCATACATCATAAAGGAGGCATCAGGAGATTTTTGATAAACAATGGGAATGGGGTATAGCCAGGACTGAGAGTCGATGCCCTCAGTGAAGCATTCCCTGCAGTACAGGGCCTTACAAGTATGTTCTTGTAGATATTTAAAACTCCTTATAAATATTTTTTCTAGGTTTTATGCCTTGGAACATGCAAAACTCATGTTTGCATGTGCCTTGGTGGGCACATGTCTGAAGGATACTGTTCAGGAGGGGTGTTAGAAATTTCTGGCCCCATCCCCAAGTCTACGGTGACCCTCTTTGATAGTGTACCCCACCCCGACAGTCGGGAATGGGAAGACCCCATCTGCATTTCTCAGCCTTGCCTGTAAACAGGGGAAGCCGATATACAGACATAACAATCTTGAGCGGAACTTCCAGGAGGGGTGTTTAGGGAGCTCAGCACACACTCATTCTACATTGTGCCTCTTCCTCTTCCCTGCTGCCAGGAGCTTGGAGAAGATGGCTGGAGCTTCAGCAGCCATTGATGACCCTGAGGCAACCTTAAGAATGACAGTCTACCTGCTCAAAAAGGCAAGAGAGAAAGCCAGAAGGACCCGGAGATCCTCTTACAAAGAGAGCTTCCAGCCCAGCCCTGGAAAGCCAGTCTCAAGACTTACTTACACTGGTGGAAAGCAAACCTCTACCTCAAGCTACTGTTTTGGATCTTAAACCAGCAAGACAAAAGGACAGATGGGCTCCCAGTTCTCAGCAAGCTTCCAAGGGATCCTTGTGACACCATTAAGTTTCTGCTACTGAGAATGAATAAATCATCTCAGCAACAATGTGGCAGGGAATCTTTCCCTCGGTGTCCGTTGAACAGACATGTCTGTGGACAAAAGGCCCTCGAGCAACCCTGGGAACAGGTAAGGCAGCCCCTCCTGTGTGGTCTGTGAGACCGGGCCACAGAGGTGCTGGGTTGCCCCGGGGAAACCAGGACACATGGACATTCGCGCTGTGGGTGGCGTCTGGATCACCACGCGCCATGATGAGATGGTGGGTCCTGAGGTGAGGCAGGGAAAGACAAGATGTGCCTAGAAAGTCAAGACATGCTCAAAGAACAAGGGCGCTGCAGAGGAAAGAAGGAGGGGGACACGCACTGGTCAAGTGAGGACAAAACGGAGCCTCCAGTTACAGCCTATGGAACAGACCAGGGTTTCACACATTTGTGCTGGGGTGGGGGAGGGAAGCCCTCGAGGGAGGGAGGCGAGAGAGGAGTGGGAAGGAGGAAATAAGGCCCTTTCTCAGAGCTCTAAGGCCCCCTGAGAAATACAGAAGGAAGAAAGTGCCCAGCAGCAGGCAGCGTCCACTGTCATGTGTGACCCTCAGGAGACGCCGCTGGCCGCGAGCCCGCTGGCCGCTCACCTCGGAGTAGGCCAGGGTGATGTGCTCGTATATGCCCTGGTGGTGGTGGATGGCGTCCTCCAGGTCCTGCAGCTCTGAGGGCAGGTCCACCTCGCCGCACGCCTTGCACCACGAGTCCACGTTGCTCATATACTTGGAAGGTTAGGGAAAAAAAAGACGATTTCTATCAATGGCAATGTATACGGAGGAAGAGAGATGCTTTAACAATGTGGTTTCGAAATTAGAGTGGTTGAGAGAGTCTAAGGACTCTCTGAGTTGAGTCTCCACCTCAAACGAACTGGTGTCAGCTCTCAGATCCCTGGGCTTGGGCCCTGGCTTAGGTTCTGGCAGGGTGGGGGCTGGGCCCAGGAACCTGCATTTTTTAACTTTCCAAAAGCAAATACACACAAGGACTTAAAAGGCAGGTGGAGGCTGCAAAACTCCCGGGGTGCCCAGTGTGCCTAGAGCTGAGGGCGGGGAGGAATCGGGGTCCGCCCACTTGGCGGGAGAACCAGCAGCGTCCCCTCTGCTGACTGCCGTCCAAGACTCACCCGGGTTTTCTCCACTGTCACCCGCACGAACACCCCAGGGTTTCACCAGTAGCTGAGAAACCACGGCCAAATTTCCCAGGGAGAGCCTCTCAAACCCACCACGGTCAGATGCAAAAGGCAAGCAGTCACAGTGCAGTTAAAGAACGTGAATTCAGCGCAGCCCACAGATGCCCCAGTTCCCGAGGGCATTGCCTCTTTTCCTGGGTCCTCGCCCGTCTTCGTGTGAGAAAACACAGAGGGCAACTTTAAAATAGGATAACTGCCCCAACAGACAGGAAGCATGTGGCGATGCTCTCAAATTATGTCTGAGAATCGGGGCTCCCTGGTGGCGCAGGGGTTAAAGACATAGCACTATCAAGCTATCCCCAGCCACTGCAGCCTGAGTTCGATCCCTGGCCAGGGAGCTGACCCACAAGGCGTAGCCGACCTCTCCTGTCTCCTGGCTGCTCCTCTCAGCAGTGTATTTCAGTAGATCTGCCTGTTCTGCTCCCCACTCTGTCTCTGGTGAATCCTCTCACCCTCACACCTCTGGCCTGCACCCCAGTTCTTGTATGCATAAATAAACAAATCTTTAAAAAAAAAAAAAAACTATGTTTGAGAATCACTTCTCAGGTACTTATGATATATGTAAGAACTCAGAAAAATCATCCAAGTAATAATTATTTTAAAAATCCCTTTGTCATTAATGCGGTGGCTCTTGAAGCCAATGCAGATGGCATCCCATGCCACCCGCGAGCAAGCCAACTCTGATGGCTTCAAGCACAGAGGCTGACACCCTCGCCACCTGGTTCTGGTGCTGTCCCCACTCCAGCCGGTCCAAACGGAAGTCTCTGTGAGCTGACCTGACGCCTGTCCACCAACCCCTCTGTGCATGTGACCTCACGGGCAGACTCCTGAGTGTCTCTTGGGTAGCGTATTTTATAAATGTCAATTACTCAGGTGGATGAGTCTCAGTATGCTTGATCTCTGTGCCATCTATCAGCCTCCATCATTGCGTTTAACAGCAATTATTAAATTATTGTAAATGCTTTTCCAACATGAATCGACTGAGGTTAACCATCGTCATTAATAAATCATCAGGTCGTGTCAGCGATGAATTGCTCCCGCACGGGCCACTGCAAACGCGCAGAACAAGGCGGAGCCCAACACGGTGCTCAGGCAAGGCCAACACCTTCTGATGCGACCGAGGAGAACCAGCTTAGTCCGGTCTACTAGGTCACCGCAAACACGAGCGTCAGACTGGTGGGATCCAAGAGGCTGTGCGAACACATTCACTGCCATGCTTGAAGCAACCAGGAAATAGAAACACTGACTTTTACATGTGTAATTTTTTGAGAATAAAGTGGTAGGGGAATCACCTGCATGAAACACACATTTCTAGGTCGCCTTCAGCCGTGTGTTCCCAGGAGCAGCTGTCCCCATGTGGCCGAGGCCAGACCGCCCGCCGCCTGCTCGGGCCTCTGTCCTGCTTTACCTCGTTCGCAGGGCTCCAGCCTCCCCTCGCTGGCTCTGGTGGAATGTCCACCACAGTCCCTTTCTGTCACTTCCAGGGGTTTTCTGGGGGCCCACTACCAATTTCCACACGCAGGTACCCCCACTATGTTACCCCTGTAGGTGACACCCTGGGGCCCCAGCCCTTCCCAGGGAGTGGCCAGAGCACAGAGGCCTGCTCGTGGCGCTGTTCTGCGGAGGGTCCTGCTCGTGTGGGGCTTGTGTGTGCGGGGGCTATACAGACGTCCCCCAAAGATCTGGCCGCTCACGTGGAGGCCCCTGGAGGAGGACCGGGGGTTCCAGGCACTGACCTTCTCGGCCTTCTGGTGGAAAATGGATGACATGTCCAGCAAGGTGCTGCGCTCGTCCAGGGCGGCGGCGAAGGCCTTCCACTCCTGCTCCAGCTGGTTGGCGATCTGCTTGATCTGCTGCGAGGCGTAGTGGCCGGACTCCACCAGGCGACTGGCCACCGACATGATGCGGTTGATGTTCACATACACGTTCTGCGGAGCACAGGGGAGGCTGGTCAGAGGCCGGCGCCTGGAGGGTCCCAAGCCCGCCCTGATGCCTAGGGCCTTCACGGCAGAGCCGCCGGCGTGTGACCTCGCACTCTGGCCACCTGGAGGCCCTCGTGACCTCTAAGTATTGGTTTCGATTTCTGTTCTTACAACTGTGACGTGACAAATCCTCTGCCTGGAGGGCCCACAGTGGTCACACCCATAAGCGGGCGCCCAAATGCTGTCAACTCTCCCTGGGCTGCCACGCGGGCAAGGAGCAGGGTAACCCCAGACTGGCAGCTGGAGCCAGAGGTCACAGAGCGTGTGCTGTGAGCCAAAGGCCCAGGTGTGAGAACTAGCTCTCCCCTCCAGATAAACTCCAGACTTCTCTTTGGTATCCATAGAAAACCTGTAAGTGGAGCTACTTTGTCCAAAGACCATGAATTGGGGCAGAAACAGGACAATGCTGTGCTTAAATCTGAAATCAAGCTTTTCTCCTACTGAAACGCAGACCTCCTGGTCCACCAGCTTATGTCAAACAAGGGAGCAGAAGGACGCAGGTCTTGGTGGTGGGTGTGATGTGGGGGCAGCACCCAAGGGGGAGCTTCTGCCTCTAAAACAAACAACGAGGCAAACCACTGTCACCTCAATTAAATATGCAACAGTTGCATGAAAAACCAATCTGATAACAGAGTGAGCATAAACGCTGGTATTCCTTAACATGCCTCCCTGAAAGACTGTCAGCTTTGCATATGAAATGTTTTCATTTCCTTTGTCAAAAAGGTTTAAAACACTGACACTGACACAGGAAAGGGCTGAGGGTTAACAGGCCCCTGCACACATGCCAGGAGGGCACAGGCAAGCACTGGAGGAGAAGCGGACGGAGGGTTGGAAAGGGTGGTCCCATGTGGGGTGTGCCCTGAGGTGGTGCGGGTTGGCGGGCTCGGGGGTGGTGTGGGGAGGCCAGCCTCGAGAACCTGGACACTCGCTGCCCCTGCGGCCTTCCTGGGGACCTTGTAGGCTCCTTGGAGGCACAATGAGGAGCCAGCACCAATGCCTGTGTTGAACTGGCCAGGGTGTCGGTGCAGGTGCCACCGGTCTGTCCATCTGCTCATTTGCCTTGTTTAAAACTTATGAGATATGAGGCACAACCGTGGGCAGCAGCTGTGCTAGGAGGGTCCTCTGGGGCCCTGCAGCCACCAGGCAGAGCCAGGACACCTGTGCTGACACCCTCTCGAACCCCTGGGCGCACAGGCCCGACCCTCCGCCTCTTACCATGCAGTTCATGGCGAAATGGCTGTGCTGTGTCTGCAGCTCCATGGCGTGTGGGTGGCTGGTCCCGATCTCGGTGTAGCTGTTCAGAAACAGGCCCTTGTTGTGTGTGATCCAGTCAAACATCTACCGGGACAAAGAAAAAAGATAACCTGAATCACTCCCGAGGGGTAAGTGGCTGCCAGGCCCCGGGGCTCGGGGTGGGGGGCAGGCGCCTGGGCAGGGGCAGCTGAACTTCTGAGTGGTCTGCAGGGTCTATGGGGTAATCTCGTCTCCGCCCCTCTGGCACGATAGGTGGACAGAGAGGAGTGTTCGTGTTCTCCGGGCTGTTCGTATTCTCGCCTCCTGCCTCTCAGTCTCTCCTCCTGTGATTCTGAACTGACCACACTGCTCCTCAACGCAAGCCCCGGGAGGTGAATCTGAGACCTGGTGGTCTCTGCACGGGGCCTGCTTATGCCCTCAGATTACTGGCAGCGGTGCTGGCAAGGTTTTTTAGTGCAAAAGTATATTTGAAAACAATAAAGCAAAAACCTGTGCAAATGCAATCATTAAATTTACTGTAAAATATAAAGAACTTAGGGAAGAAATCGAAAGGCATCCCTCCCAAGGTTCAACAGAGATGCCACCTGTCCATTAAGATGTTCACAGGAAACACTGAAGGAGAAAGAATGACTATCAACTAGCACAGTGCTGCGACTTGGAACCCCAGAGGGCGTCACCGGCGCGGTGGCTGGGGGAGGCCTGCAGTGTCCTTGGAGGCACCACTGAACCAGAGCACGAAGCAGGCTCGACGACCGCTCCCGGGCAGAGCACTAGGCTGTCGCCTCTTGAAAGGCCCTTTCAAATCCAGTATTTATATCCACGAAATAAACCTACTGAACTGGAACTAAGAGGGACAAGTCCACCCACGTTCATGGCTGGACCCCCTTCCCACAGGTAAGGCTGCTTTCCACGTTGCTAAGACCGAGTGAGCCCATAACCCACAAGAACACACTCTGGCCAGTGGGTCTGTCTGGAGCATGAGAATCAAACACAAGCCCCGAGTAATCACAGCTGCATTTCCCAGAAACTATTTAACACATCGCAGCACACTCAGTATCACATCTGAATGGCGGTCTGTCCCCGGCTTGGCCTGAGCGGAAGAGTAGTTACTAGCAGCACGTACACACGATTATTACCTTCGATAACAATCCTGTAAAATTCTCAGCCTTTTAACAGATAGTATCATCTTCAATTATCTTACAGGCATCCTATCTTTTTCCTCTCTCTTCCCCATTGAGCTGCTGCTGGCGCAGTATCAGTTATTAGGGGTTTTCTCTCAGCACCGGCAACCAGATCCCACGAAAGTGCCACTTAGAGGCCTGGCGAGCCAGGCGAGGGCCCTGCTAAGTCACCATCTCTACACCATGCCGCAAGCCCAGCAGGTAAAACTGGGGGGTCACTGTGGGTCTCTAAGTCACACAGTGGGGCGGGCCCACCTCTCCCAAACTCTCCGTCCCACCAAACAGCCCGGGCTACCAGTCCCCACGCCCAGGAGGCCCCCCCCTTTTACCTTCTCAGCATCCTGTTCAAACAGCCGCAGCTGGAAGCACTGGTCCAGCTTGAGCTTCCTCACGTGCCACATCTGGTGCAGGTGCTGCCGCGTCGAGTGCAGCCGGTCTAGCATGGCGGACACCTTGGGCAGGAGGGTCTGCAGGTCCGCGTTGCCCGAGCCCGAGTTCTTTTTGGGGAAGCTGTCGCTGCTCTGGATTCTCTGCAGCAGCTTCTGTCCCTCTAAATCCAAGTCCTCGATGGGGGCCTTAATCACCTTCTTCTTCAGCTGGGAATGTTCTTCGATCATGTTCCGGGCCCCCTCCAAGTCCTGGGGCAGCTCCTTCTTGGCCAGGATGTCCTGCAGCTCCTCCAGCCGAGACAGCATGTGGGTGGCGTTGCTGATGTAGTCTTCAAAAGCCACCCTGATTTCGATCCACTCCTCGTGGTTGTATTCCAGACAGCCATCGAACTCGGGGGTGAGCTGAGAAGGATCAACTACTTTGGTAAGGCCTTCTAAAGAGACCATATTTGTCTTAAGGGGAAGAAAAATCACATATGAGAAGATGAACCCTGTCCACGTGGTCTTATCATCATGCAACTTGCAGTGCTTAGTCCTAAATTTTCACTCTTAAAGCAAAGCATCTACATATAGAAAACATAACCTACCTTGACCTGGTCTCATAAAAATCAAGATGAAAGAAGCTTTACGAGTACAGGCAGTAAAAGAGAAATCCACTGGAGACACATGCATAGTAGTCGAAATAGCTAACATGATAGAACCATCATTCACAAGCACTAAAGAGACTGAGCTTTCTTCCCTAAGGTGTGGAAACGAACCTAGTACGTCAGGTCCCCTAGCTGAGAGCCCTTCAACCCTCAAGCCCAGAACAGAGGATGCAGACACGCCACGTGTGTGAGTGTGTTCCTCCTCGTCCACGCCACGCGCCACCTCTCTCTCCGCAGAGAACTCCGCAGAGGCTTCGACTACCTGCAGTCCAGCCAGTGCCTTGCTCGTGGGCTTCAAAAACCCTGGCAAGCGTCACTCCCTCTCGGGACACCTATTTCCGAGCTGCTTATTAAATGGTAAATGTGGCTTTTACCAGACCGCCCCCCTCACCCCTGATCCTGCATCTTGTCCTACCTCCACCGCCCAGCAGGGGGCAGGTGATAAGCCAGGACTTTTTAAGACCTCAGACAACACACAAGGGTTCGCAAGCAAGCTGGCAGAAGCTCTTTTCACAAAGCTGGAAAGGGCCTGCTCACTCACTGCAAAAATACGCCATGATTCCAGCAGAACGTACGATACAGAATCTGTCCTAACCCCAATCTAACGGAGACCAAGCTGTGTTCACTCGGACCTCAGCAAGATTCTCAACTTCGCCTTACCCGAAGGGTCAGTGTCAGCGCTACAGACACCTCAAGGAAGACTGGGGTGGGGGGCAATGAGGGAGGTGAGATTTGTGCCTAGAACTTAGAGAGAAAACGGGAAGGCAGGTGGGCCCCACCTCTGTCCCCAACAGCCTTAGAGAAGCCGCAGGTGTGCGGCTGGCGTGTGGACACAGAAGGCGGCCAGGCCACAGAGTGGCCCAGCCCAGGACATGGACCGTTGCTGTAGGCCTCTCGCTGCTTCATTTCCCAGACTTTTGACAGCCTCCTCGGAGGCGATCAGCCCAGAGGGAGGCTGGCAACAGGGCACAGGCAGCAAGTTCAACCGAAACCTGAGCCAGCTAACTGCAAAGGGCCGGGGAGACCTGGGAATCGGACGGGTGAACACACCGTGCGTATCAAGCTGACCCATCTAGCTGCTGCTGGGACATGCACAGATCAACACAGTGGCTTTCCGTTCTGTGGCAAGAGACTGACGCCCAGCAAAGTGTCCTCCAAAGCCACTTCTCACTGTGTCTGAGGACAAGGGCTTACGCCGGTTTCCTCTTGCACCGCAATCTCTTCAGTGCAGTTTCAAATTCAAATTAAATTCAGATTAAAAACTCAGCGCTGTGGAGATTTTACAATGCAAGTCATAGACACTTGAAGTGTAACATGTAACAGAAAGCTTACTTACTTAGGTGTGACATGCGGGATACTATTATTGTTATTTACCCTCAAATACATAAATACACTCACTGAAACCTCAGGTTTGGGCAAAGGTGCTAGAAGAACCAATCTAGTCAATCAAAAATAGTTATAATTTACTATTAGGAACCATTCAGGTTTTATTAGGACTCCGGCTCCGGTTCCAAGCAGGCCAGAATACGGCCTCCCCACAGCCTTGTCACTAAGCCCACCGGCGGCAGCGGAAAGGAAGCCAGCAGTTGAGGTATGTTCGCACGTTGTCTGAAAGCAACCTCAGGTGCTAGCTGCATTGCTTGGATTTAAAGGCTCTCCCCCTTGGCACATGAAATGCAGGCCAGACCACAGGGTGCGCTCTCAGCCGCCTCCTAGCTTTCCCTCGGGAATTCTCAGGTGGGGCGTTTCTCCCTCATTTCCAAGGCTGAGGCCACGGCAGTGACTGAACAGAGCGGGCTCCTCTGTGTGAGGCAGGGGCCTGACCCCTCAGCAGCCCACGGCTGCAAACCAAGAGAAGGAGTCCCAAACCCCCTTGGGGCAAGACAACCCCGGTTCACCCACCCACACCTAACATCAGGACTTCAGCACCGCCTGCATGGCCGCCGCGCCCCCCGGGAATAAGCCCCTGGACATGCAGTCTGGTCGCCAGGGACATTACCTCAAATTCGAATTTAGAACTGCCGAAGTTAGTCCTCTGTTTCTGCCAGAAGTTGTCGGGCTTGATGATGAGGGCCACGTGGATGCAGCAGGGGAAGGACTCCTGCAGGATCTTCAGCAGGGGCTTGATGGAGTCCCACTTGGACCCGCGCATGTCCACGATGACCGTGAAGCCGCGCTTGCACACCTCCTCACTGCGGACAGAGAACCGGCGTCAGCCGCGCGCTGCTGCCGCTGTCTCCGCGGCCTGTCCCTCCCGCCTCCAGGCTGTGTCCTGCGGGGGCAGGGGGCGAGAAGGCGCCCCTCCACCCATCCCTGCTATGCTCCCCAAGACTGAGGGCCCGCCCTCCCGTGGGGAAAGAGCAGGTGATTTACACCTGCACCGAGGAGCAAGCAGCGCTGTGAAGGGTCTCTCTGAAAACTTCTAAATGCTAATTTTGTGTCCAGACATTTGCATCTTGTCTTTCTTTTGAAGGAACGTCATTATAACCCAAGTTTCCGGCGTGCACTGTTGCGAATCTGTGTGCATCTACTCCACGGAGGCCGCGCTGAAAGCCCACCTCTGTCCTCAACATTAACCCTTTGCCCGACGTCCCCCTCTGCCCCTTCCTTTGGGTCACTGCTGATCAATCTGGGGGTGCACTTGTTGTGCACTTGTTCACCTGCCTGTCTTCCCCATGTGCACATGTGAGTGGCACCGTGGCTCATCCTTCGTGTCTTACCTGGTGCACGCACTTGGGGAGCTCTACGTGGAGACAGACTCCAAGAGTGACCTCAACATCGAGTGCAAAGCCCATGGTGGAGTGTCACGGCCCTGGGACACAGGTCACCCCTGGGACCACCGCCGTGACCGCCACCGCACCCCAGGCAGCAACAGGTTCCGTGCGTGCCGCTTGCCTAGACCTATCTCAGTGGTTCGCCAAGTGTCCCGCCCTCCAAGGGGTCTTGGTGTACCCTGCGGGGTGCACAGGCAGAGCTATTCCCAGAGTAAAACCAAGGCCTTTCACCAGGCTCTCTTGAGGGAGCAGAGGTGGCAGGTGACACCACTCTGGGCAGTGCTCGGTGGTAGCACTGTCCTCTGCTCACCCATTCTTAAGAGGTCAGTTTCTCTTAAGAATGTCTTTGGTGAAGCAGTGACAATGATGAGCTTGATGAACGCCCAGTTGAGCACCTGTGGTGTGTGCACACTTCTGCACGCACACAGGTCAGAGCCACACGGGTGTGGTCATGCCTTCAGGGCTGCAGGCAAAGCTCTGGCCCAGGGTCTCAGGGCTTCACACCTGGGGACAGCCCTGGAGGGCACCATCACCAGGTGCGCCACCCATCCTGCAGCTGCGGGAAGGTCTGGGAGATACCTAAGGCCTGGTGAGCACCCAACGAGGGCTGCAGGCTTGCACCTAGGTGAACGCACCAGGCCTGGGGGAGATAGTGGGCACTCTGCCTCAAGGAATCTCCCTGAGAAACCTAAGTCAGCTGAGAAAGCTAGCTGCTGCCCCTGGGAGTCCTAACTCAGACTCGCAGTCAATTTCACAAACGCAGCCCTCCCTTGCACAGGCCCAGCCCAGGCTCCCATGCTGCTGCACCCCTGTCCACAGGCTCCCTCCCTTCCAAACCCACATGGTGCTCCCCAGACACGCAGGCTGGGACCACACAGCGGGAGGGAGGCCGAGTGGACGGCACCTCGGGCCTGGGGCGGGTGTTGAGGGGCTTGAGAAGGGCTGAACTTCAGAGAGCAAGTGAAACCACAGAGGAGGTTCCTGAACAGAACTGAGCCTGACAGGACACGCACTCAGATCCCATCAGGCTCCGCAGGCCGACACCACCCCCCTAGCCCAGGCCACGCTGGGGCAGCCCTCGCAGACACAAGCCAGCAGGGCTAACGAAGACGCTAGCTCCTCACAGACCGAGCCCAGCAACCGCTCCTGGCCCACGGCCCTGGGCGACGAGGCCCGGCCTGTCGGTGCTGCACTCCAGTGTCCACACTACACACCCCCTGTCTCTAGCAGACGCTCTCCTCTGATTGAACAGTGGCTCCCAAAGTTGACAACCCGGCTTGTTAGCTGGTAAAGATTTTTAATGACCCCAAACTTCATTCTGTAAATCAGCAGAATCCTTTAAAAGAACCAAAGCTCAGCGTGAAGACAGGGCCGCACAATCAGGAACACGCCCGCTTCTGCCTCCAGCTCCAAGTCTCAGTGAGGATGCTGCGCTGCACCCCGACTTCCTAGCCCGTGGGCTCCCAACCAGCGTCACCCCAAAGTCCTTCACTCAAAGCACACCTTCTCGGCACTGCACCCAGGAATGCCGGGCACGCGCAGAGAGGTCACACCAGGGAAATACGGAGGATTTCTTTCCATCAGCTCTTTTCTAGAAAGCACAGCGCCGCCTCCCCAGAAACAGCGAGAAAAGCCGCACGCCCAGCGCCGGGACTTACCTGGGGATACAGGCGAGGTAGGAAATGAGCCTCCGGAGGTCCTCCTGCCGTATTCTGTCGTGGTTGCTGCGGGCTGGGAACGTAAGGATGGGGCCTCCACGCTTGTCTCTGCCGCCTGGAACGCACACAGGACGCTGAGCCGCGCGGGCACACGGCGCCTCGCGCACGGGCCCCGCCTCCTTCCCCGCTCCAGGGCGTCCGAGGGCTGCATCCACCGAGGCAGGGCAGGGGGCCGGCTGTTGCCTCCCACACCTTCCCGCCTTTCACTAGTCTTATGTTTGCAGAGGAAAGAAAGTCTCCGTGTCCCGTGGCTCCCTGGCCTACACAACCACCTCCTCCCGCCCCCACGCTCCCCTCTGCCCACGTGCTTCTCTCCCTGCTCTTCCCTCCCCTGCATTCTGCGCGCTCTCCCGTGCCACAACTGGTGGGTTCCAAGGCTGGCAAGGAAAGAGACAGGCGTGGGCTTCAAACCTCACCTGACGACAAGTAGCTGTAGGCCGGGACCCGGGCAGGCTGACCCCAGGTGGGGTTCTAGGTGGCTGGCATGGCTCCCTCCCTGCCTCCCTCCCTCCCGATCTCTCTCTCCCTCCCTCACACACACACACACACAGGGAGCGGGGAGAGGAGAGGCATGCAAGTATTTTAAAGCAGAACTAAATTAGCTCAAGCACTTTAGAAAAACTCATGGCGCACTAACAGTAATGTCAGCGGCCGGCCCCTGACAGGCAGAGAGAGTTCTCATTAAACACACACGATCCTGATGAAGCCGGCTGGGTTCGCCGAACACGGTGGTGAAACGACGGGGTTTTCAGGGAAAAACCCCAGGGAGAAACGCCCTGCCCTGGAGCGGGCCCTGGGTGGCCGCACCCTCTGCCCCCACCCGCCTGGCAGCAGGAGGCCTCGGCGTACAAGTCACAGGTGAGCCGCCCGGTCTCACCTTAGTGACCCACCAGGAGGCAGAGGTGAACTTAAACGCAAGCCCAACCCAGAAAACTGGTTTCCTTTCTTTCAGAAAAGCTCGTGCACAGCAGGGGAGGGCACGGTTTACAAGGCGGGCTTCCCCGCCTCCCGGGTGACCGCGCACTCACGCTAACTCCAGGGGTGATCGCTGAGGGACCCGTGTGTGCGCCTGGCCGCGGTCCAGGAGTGGCCGAGGGCTCACAAACTCAGGTGTGACACGGGAGCCTCGCCCAGGCGTGGGGACTGGGCCTTGACTGCGCCCCCGGAGAGGCGGACCATCCTGCTCTGTGACGAAAGATGCTGACACAGACACGGGCCCACGCCAGCACCTCCCCTGGGCCCTGAAAGAACTTGGATAATTCTTCAAACGGGAGGATGCGTTTCTCTCTAAGGTAGTAAAGTGTCAGAAGGACAACCACAGGGCGGGCTGAGGCCTTTTTCTGAAGGAAGGTGCTGGCGCGGGTGAGCGGGGCTGGGTAGGTGGCCGAGTGGCATCCCTGAGCACCTGCTAACGTCTGCCTCATCCCCTGGACTCCTCTTGTCCCCAGTACATGACAGGCAACACTTTGGAGATTTTTCACTTCCAAACAGCATTCATTTTTCTCCCCCAAAATCAATCTCCTTGATCGAAATGTTAACCATTCACACCACAGCTGGAGTTTTAAAAAATGGAAGTGCTATTTGGATGGAGACATCCGCTCCGCTTTGGGAAAAGAGAAGACTGGCATCCAGCGTTTGTCTGGACCACCATCCTGAACTTTTGAGATACAGTGTAAGGCAAGAGGCAGCAGGGGGACAGCGGAACGGGAGCCGCGTTCGATCCTCCTCCCTCGGGGGTCACCGGATCTCCCAAGGCAAGCACGGTGTGTTCTGCCACAGGGTGGAAAGTGGATCCAAAATCTGCCCCTCAAAGAAACAAAGCAAAGGACCAGAAACCAGGGCAAACCAAAACAAGCCCTTGAAACCTGACTGCAGAATTGAGGAGGGAGGGGGCAGGGGGCCCAACAGACGACAGTGAGGACACTGGGCGTCTTGGTGGGGGGTGTGGGGGAGCTGGAGAGGACTCCATGGTGGGCCTCAGGGAGGCCCCTGGCCTCGGGGCGCGGGGTAGACAGGACAGGAGGCCCTCCCTCTGCGGGGGTGGCGGAACTCAGACCAGGTCGCAGCACAGCAGCAGAGGCTGGGCAAGGAGCCCACATTCCTGTCAACACCCCCATTTGCAAAAGAGAATGTTCACCTTGCCCCACAAAGTGCTCTTCTACAAAAGTAACCCAAATGCGGTTCGCAGGCAGCTGACCCAGTAAACAAGGGGCACACTGCAGCGTCAGAGGCGGCTGTGAAAGGAGAGTCCCAGGGACAGAGACCCCACCCCCTGATGCTGGAACCTGCCGTGCTGGGGAGAGGGGCCTCAGGGTGGGGCGGGAGCCACACAAGGTGAGCCTGACACCTCTGTGTCTGAGCAGCGGGCAGCAGTGCTGAGGTCCGTGGATCCAGGGGCCACTCTGAAACGTCCCCTTGGCCAAACTGGGGAAGTGTCTCTTAGTAAGCGAAAAACAATGTGCAATGAATTGAAGCACAACAAATATATTTAATACCATGAGTTCAAAATGATACTGGTAAGACTTCAATTTTTTTTTATTAGCCTGGGATTCAGTGAGGATCAGCATCAAACACCCCTCTCTTCCTATCTCCAAAGAAGAGACAACCAGAGACTCCCCTGTAGAACGACCCAGCACCACCCACTGACGACTCCGTCAAGTTCACACTAAGGCTCCACGATCCTCGAGATGCAGCTCCTAGTTTGCAAGAAATACAGGGGAGCTGCTACGTGTTAATGACCACCATGCATGCAGCCCGCAAGCTCTGAAATGTGGGGAAAACTCCTGTTTTCCTCACCTAATAAAATTAAGGGGATAAGACAAAAAGAAAAACAACGAGCAAGAAACTACAGCCCAGACGAAGCGTCAGCCCCGGACCTTCGGGCTACAGCACCGCACACCCCGTAAAGGAAAGCATGAGCCACGCAGGGAAATGTGACTCTCGACTCATTTTTAGCTCTGTTAAGGGTACTGAGGCTTTTTTAAAGCTTTTTAAGGAACACGGATGAGACCAAATGACAGCGGTGAGCCATGGGTTTGCGGAAATTCATTATACTATTCTCTCACCTTTGGGGTGTTGAAATGCCCCATGATAAGACGCCTAGGCAGAAAGTGCTCTTGACTCTGGTCTGTCTGGTCTGTGCGTTCCTTGAAAGCTCAGACCCTAGTGCACAGGAACTCCGTGGAGTGGGGGACCCTCCATGTAAGATGCACACACTCCGAGGACGGTCAGTGTACACGCTACACTAAATATGCGTGCTACAATAAATACATACGCTACTTTAAACATCTAAAATATTAAATGTAAACGACAAGAGCCCCTTCTGACTGGTCATACAGCCCCATTTAACTCACCCTCTAAGGGGAGGAAGTAGGATTTTTCTGCCTTAAGTGCTATGAGAGTAACTTTTTAGAACACTTAGAAATAGACTGAGAATCAGAAATTCAAGTTCCAGGAGTTTTCTTTGGTGTTTAACAAGCTCTCCTGGACTCACTGATCTTTTGGCTTGCTTTCTAAAATCCCAACAATTTCACTTTGAATGAATCTACTAAAAGTCATTCACATGCACAACATTTACAAAGGAGCCATCACAGCTAATAACATTTTTTTTAAATGAGGTCAGAGCTAAAATAGACGGGTGACTGCCAGAGCTGGGGGGTGGGGGCTGGGGTGGGGTTCTTGGGAGAGGAAGAAAACGTCCTGGAAGGAGACAGCAGTGACGGCTGCAATGTTAAAATCCACCGAATATACACTTGAAAGGGGTGGATTTTATAGTGTGTGAATTGTATCTCACTTTCAAATAAGGGAGAGAAACGAGGTTGGAAGTAAAAAATTTTATCTGAACAGATTCGCTGTGTCGGGTTACCTGCAGAAGTAATCGTCTGCTTTTAATTATCTGATTTTGTTCTTTTTCTCTTCCTACAGGCACTGAAGTTAAGCCTGGTGTCACGGCGATGACCGCAGAACCGCGTGCCTGCCGGGCGTCAATCAGGAAGTGTGAGCACCACCCGGTGGCACCGAGGACCACTCTGCTGTGCGCGGGAGGGCAGGACAGGGTGAGGGGTAAAGCTGCTCCTTCACGGCCACCAGCTCCAAACCCGAAACCGGTGAGCGCGCGGAAGCAGCCGCTGACACTTACAAGTCAAGTCTTTTTATTCACTCACTTTAAATTCCACCTGTAACCTGCAAAGTCAGGAACTTACAACTGGGAGTTCGTGGTATGTGACTTGTCAGTAAATGATGGGGAAGGAGCTAATGCTACTTTTAAAAAGCACATAACAAGCCAAGAGTTGTTGGTTGGTTGGTTGGTTTTTTTCCCCCCATTTTTTAACCACCTTCTTCTTTTCCTGAGCTCCTTTCTCTTCCAGTAACCTCCCAAATGCATTATAATCACATTTACTTCAGCAAAACCAACCAACAGAGCTCAGCAGGGGGCACAAAACTACCGCAGCAGGTACACGGGACGGCTGCCTAAAGAGACACGTTCCACTCACTGCGGATGCACAAAACACACAAAAGCAAAGCACAGTGCTACAAATTGAAAATGTGTCAAGGAGACCTCAGAAGAGCACGGAAGACCTGTCGGAGACAGATAAACACTTACCTGGGGAAACACACCCAGGGAGGCTGCGCAAAGCATGTGAGGCTACAGATTTGCCTCCTGCCACCCCGGGCAGAAAAGCTCTGCAGCCCTGCTTGGGAACGAGAGACTCTGGCCGTGCAGACACGGCACCCGATGACCCAATGGCTGTTTTGTTCATGTGGGGGGGGGGGGGCCGCCCTGGAAGAGGCAACCCCCCAAAACCCTCCAGCTGGCCCTCCATGAGCAGACAGAGGCCGAGTGCCCAGGATTCGGATGCCCCGCTGCAAGGAGGGCGGGGTCTGCAGGGGAGCGGAGGGCCCCGGTAGAGCTCACAGGGCTTGCAGCCTCCATGGCGGGGGATCTCGGGCCCCCAGGACCAGGTGCAAGAAACAGGGGTGAGGAAACCAGATACATCTGCACACAGCCACAGTCCCACCACCCTTGCTGAGATGATGGACCTAGACCCAGCTGTTCCAGCCCACTGACGGGGCCAGCAGGCACGTTTGTGAAGGAGAGACCCTATTTCCACCCCCAATGCGACCTGGGGTCGCAGCAGCTAGAAGAAAATGCTCTGGCTCCTCATCTCTCAGGGAAATGCGCTAAGAGTTAAGCAGTTAAAACTCCAGTGAAGTGCTAACACTTTCAGGCATGTGGCAGGCGAGCTAGTTTGGTGTTTTGGTCTCTGATGACTGTTCCAGAAGCAGTCGGAGGAACGAAAGAGCAGATTAGAAGGTTATGCGTTACCTGAAAGGTAGGCCACTTTTTCCTTTAAAATTGGCAAAACATCCATTGCTTTCATGTCATCGTTTTTTCGAAACCCTGAAACACAGAAAAGGAAAATGGCGTGAGGAGGTTGCTAGCCGTTCTCTCCCACATCACACCCACTAAATCCACGTCAGAAATGTCCTCATTTGAAAGCATTCGGGGGTCTGTGAGGGAAAGTCTCGGACTGCAGAAATAGCTTCCATTTTCGAGAAGAACGGCGTGCATGCAGACCCAGGGGCTCGTGTGCCGAGCAGACTCTCGGCCATTCCTACCTGTAAGGATCCCACCCCAGAAAGACTGGGCATGAAGTCAGTCTTGATCATTTAAAAAATCTTTGTTTTGGGCTTGCATAGATTAATGCAGACCCCGGCCACACAGCAATTTTGCTTTTTAAAAACTGTGATTTGAGACTCACTCCTCTAGGGGGAGCGCAAGACCTCGTCCTATACCAGACTTGATGTGTCTGGTTAAAAATAACAGCAGCAGGGAGGAGAGGGGATTAAAAATAGCAGGGAACTGGCTTGCAGCTCCCCCCCTGGCTCTGCCCTGCCAGGCTTTCTGGGTCATGACCCCTGAAGGAATCTCACTGGCAAATGCAGGATGGCCCCATGCCACCTGCTTCAGAGGGGAACCCTCTTGCACGGCAAACCAACTCCCCCCCATTCCAAGCAACCCAACATCTTGAGAAGCCAAGTGGAAATAAGCGTGGAAAAGCAATGTGCATTGGGCCACTGAGGCCAAGCCACATCCACCGACACAAAAGGGATTCTTGCAGCCCAAACACGTCCGGCCCAGCTCAAGGGCGAATGCCCACTTGGGAGCTTGGGGTCAGAAACGTGCATCCTCCTAACGCCACCGGATATTTCCCTTGGCGGGGCCTCAGAGGGGTCATCTAGGTTCAGGATGCGGTGACACTCATCCACACAATCAAGTAACGCTCGTCAGCAGAACTCGCTGGAAATAATAAGCCACGGCCACCCCCACTCTCCTTTTCTGCATGTTTTTGGCCCAAAGAGCACAACTAAGCACCCACAACGTGAGGTACGACAATAGGGGGGATAGGCGTGGAATCTGAGAGCAAGCCCAGTGCCAGAAGCAGCAAGGGAGCTCCTGAATAGCTGCCACGGGGCAGCCCTGGCCCAGGTGAGATCCACAAACACCAAACTCAAGGCCGTGGGTGCACCCAATGCAGGGGGGACACTAGGAAAGGGGGGTGACCCAGGACAAAGGTCCCCCCCTAGTGGCGCCACATGGAGCTGCCTAAGCAAGAACCAGAACCCAGCCTGGGGAGGCCCCACCAGTGACACTGAGAGGGGGGAGTCACGGCCAGAAAGGATGGCCCAGGTCCCTTGCTGTTCCCGGAGCCTGGTGCAGGGCCTGCTCCCAGGTAAGGATAAAGGTGTGAGCTACAGTGGTGGTGAAGGGGGCAAGTGGCAGGCTGAGCCAAGCAGCCACACCAGAGGCTATGTTAGGGGGAAAAGGATGTCCTAAAGCTAATCCCATACAGGCTTTGTGGACTCCACCCCCACTCCAGGCCAAAGCCAAAGACACTGGGAGAGACAAATCCCGTCACCAGCAAAGGGACCGTGGCTGGAACCTGAGGGTGGGGTTAAACAGCCAGGTTGGTATAAAACCAGACACGTGGGCTTTGGAGGTTTTCCCCTTTTTTTGGCTCGCCGCCAGCTTGAAGCTCAGGCAGCTCTTGGAGTGCCTTTGGGGTTTCCAGGTCAGCGGATCGGGTAGGACGCATTAAAGACTTTATTTCCTGATTTTCTCCCTGAGTTGTACATTGCCTCAATTCCCTTATAAATAAACCTTTTATTAACCTTTTGTGTGTGCCTGTAGTGGAGTATTAATAAGTCCCTTTTATACGCGCAGGTGAGGACCCACAGCCAGGCAACCCGTTTTGTATCGGGGCTGCTCCGTAACAGCTAGATCGCACAGCAAATGACAGCACCAACGCCTTCAGGAGAGTATAACAGAACCAGCGTCCACGCATCGCATTCACGCTGCACAGAACCAGTGCACAGACCGGTGTTTACATGTTTTAAACAAAGTGTTCCTGTCCTCAGGACACCCATTTGTGTACCCAGAGCCATGACACAGACATCGCCGGAGATCTGGGCGAAGACCACATCCTGACGAGGACCCATAGAGAAGGAGGCTTGGAGGCACAGTCCAGCCAGTCGGAAAGGGGCCAGGATACAGGCTCCGATCACCAGGCCATGCTGCTTTCCAGCAGACACGCTGGTGCTGGCATCCCACCAAGCTTTTACAATAGTGGCTATTGATAACAGAAGCTCCATCTGAGCCAAGAGTCCCAAAACGTCATCCTTAGGCTACTGCAAAACTCCTGAATGGAGGCCACCCCATCCCAGCCACTTGCTGCCAGTAAGGCAATTTCCGGACAGCGTCTGCAAAGATTGATCACATCCCGAGTCTATCCAAGGTGGACGCAGAGGACGGCGGAGCAGACGCAAAGAAAGAGGAGCAGGCGCCGGGGCAGGCTGCAAGGAGACAGGCTTATAATCACCAGCAGAACAGGGGGCAGTGGCAAAGCTGTCCACGCAGCACTAAGGGCTGTTGGGCCCCAGTGAGTGAGGTGGACCAGAAAACACCAGGAGGCTAGGAGGCCTGGCTGCAGACTCCGATCCACACGGATCTGAAAACAAGCTCCCTCTTCTACTGCCACCAGGTCAGAAACCTCATGCCTCTGCTGTGTCACCTGTGCCCACCGGCACCCCAGCCAGGACCCGGCTCGGCACTGGGTGTCCCAGCTGCTGCCCTGGGCTCCCTGCTGCGGAAGCAATACCCCCTCCACAAGCTCCCACTGCTGGCACCTCAAAGAAGGCCTGCAGGCCCGAGACAAGAATTCCTCAGCATTCCTGACAGTTTCTGCCGGCACTCTGAGCCACACCTGCTGGGTCGCATCCTGGATGGCGTGGATGGCGGAAGCTGGAGCCGCCACGGCCTAGGCCGCCCCACGGGAAGAGCAGCTGATGTGCAAACAGGATAAAGGGCACGGAATGTGACCCTGAAAACCTCCATCGCCGAGGCCGCTGCTGGTCAGAGACTCACTCCCCGGAACTGATCTCGGCTTCCTCGAGCTGCACCAGAGCCTCTCGGGTGCTCACGGTCTCCCCTAAAGTAGACTCCGCCTTTCTAAGGAGGAAGGACACATGACTCACTGCTAAACCAGCGTGGAAACGCGTTACACTTTCCTGTGCTAATGTACATGTCCGAACGCGGACTAGAATGTAAATTCTAAACCATCTTATGGCGATATTTTTGTTAACTACATCACAGAAAAAAAGATGCTGATTTTCTTTGATCAATTAAGATAGAACATAAGGCAGAAATCTGAAACCACAGAAACGGAGTTTGTGGCTATGAGGGTGATCGCCTCGGTGTGAATTTTTTTAATCTCATTCCCATTTTAAAAACACATCTATAAGCAAAAAAAACTGAGGAAGCATGTATAGATAGTAAAGCTAGATTAAACACATGATGTCACTGCCAATAAAAAGCAGGAAGAACTCAACCATGCAACGCCCTCAGATCAAAAAGGCTGGCTCTGGTCCAGGCCTGAAGAGCTATTTATGAGAGCAGAGTAGGTGATTACTAAAAAGAAAGAGAGAAAAGAGATCAAGAAGTGGCATCCGTGTCGCTCTAGCCACTGCAGACTAGGTAAGGATAAAGGACCAATAAACGATGACCCTATTGCGCTCTCTTCCTGCATTAAAGCTAGCTGTGGTCCTGCACTTTGGGGGCGAGCCCTTAAGCTCAGTGACCACCTGGAAGCACAGTCTCTCCTTCCATGATGTCCCTGAGGGAGAGGCCCTGAGACCCCACACCACGTCCTTGTGCCACAGACCAGGGGTCAGCAGCACTTTCCTTTCCAAGTGGGAGACTGAAAAGCCACTAGTAGGTGGAGGGGTGGATGGAGAGAATCTGGGTGACAATGGAGAGGAAGAGTCGAGAAAGAAGAGCGACTTGGAAGATGATAACCAACTAAGAGGAGAAACGGCCAAGTCATAGGACACTTGGTTGCACCCACTTCTGGATCCCACACTCCTTAAACACAAAGAGCCTGGGCTCACGTGGGCAGAGAGACGGACTGGATTCTCATTATAATTCAACCACATTCTAGTGAGACAAGGAGCCAGTGTGGATTTGTATGACACGCTAGTCCTCGTCAGGATGTGGTCTTCGCCCAGATCTCCGACAATGTCTGTGTCATGGCTCTGGGTACACAAGTGGGTGTCCTGAGGACAGGAATACTTTGTTTAAAAGATGTAAACACCGGTCTGTGCACTGGTTCTGCACACCGTGGGCACATACCGCAGGGTGCAGCCGGCCTAGGCTCAGCCACAGGTGCAGAGACGTTTCCCAGGGGAGTCCTAAAAGGCATGTGTCCACTGCTTTCTCCAACCACGTCAACATGGAATCTGATCAGAATGTTCATATCAACCTGCTGCCCTTATGCTAAGACCCGGAAATTAATATTTGAGGGATGCTACTGGGGGAAAGGGTTTGGGTTCAAAATCAGATTTCACTGTTGTTGATAGAAATGTGCAGTTAGCGCTTAAATTTTCTTTGCACTTTCCACGTTAACTAGTACCTCTTCCTAAAACAACTAAATTTGAGTAACTAAAGACTTGAAAATACTCATTAGAAAAAATCGCAATGCAAGGTTCAGCACAGTATAACTTGCCAATATGAATTCTTGATTACCTTCTAACTTGCTATTTGTTTCAACAAAATGTCAATTTCAGATAAATCTTAAACCCTTGCTCCCAAATGGATCATATTTTTTAAAACGGCAAGCATTACGTAGTCCTTCAAGAAGGTGGTTTTTCTCTTTCCCTCTGAAGAGCTGCTAGCCAGAGCGGGTGGGTCTGCTGTGTTCCCTTCTGTGTCCCAGATGCTGTGTCACACACAGGGTCAGGCCCGGCAGCCATAAACAGGGGATGGCTGAACAGGCAGATGAATGAGCCCATGAACAAATGAACACAATCCTCCAGCGCCCCTGAGCCCCAGCCAGGCCAGCACCC